ACAATTGTTGATGCTAGTCCACTGATAGCACTGCTTTTAATATGGATCCCTTGAATTCATAATTATATGTCCTTCAATGAAACAGGCCTTGGTAGTACAGTGGTTTAATGCACCCTGTTATTAACACAGCTGCCTGCAATTTCTGCAGGTTTGAATCTTACCAGGCTCAAGGTTGACTCAGCCTTCCATCCTTTCTAAGGTAAGTTAAATGAGGACCCAGTTTGTGGGGCCAATAAGATGACTTTGTATAAATATACAAAAGTATGAAGGCTATTGCTTAACACACTGTAAGCCGCCCTGAGTCTCCGGAGAAGGGCGGCATATAAATCAAATTAAAAAAAAAAAAAGGCATTGGCAAGCATCAATACGGATAAGAAGCAAAGGTCTGGTTATACCCTCAATCATTTTATATTGAGATTTCTAGACTTGAACATATTAATTGTGTACAAATAATACCTTAAATGCTGTCAAGACTTGTTTTCTCCCTAACACAGCTATGGTTCTTTTATCCCTCTGCTGCATATAAGAGTTTAATGGATAATCTCCTTTTTCTCTGGTTCAAATGACTGATGGAAGAACTTTAATAGTGGCAAAGAACTTGTGACCAGCCAGAAAATGTTGGACTACACATTCTAGCTGCAAAAGCACCTTGGCCAATGGCAAAGGATGCTGGAAATGATAATTTATTAACATCTGGAGAGTTCTACAACATCTCCTGAGAATTTACAGGATGGTTATAAGTAAAGTTCATTAACAGGAGAAGAGTAGCTAGGTATTGGCAAGGATACCTATGAATCATATACCAATGATTCCCTGACCTACTACAAAAAGTTCATTTGTAGTTCTATAAAGTGGGAAAAATGCATATAGTTTAAATTCATTTTAATGAATTAACAGAGAAGTGCATAAATCTTGGAATTGTTTGTTTACTTAACAAACATACGTCTATTAAATATGAAAGTGTATATAAACTGAATAAATATCATTTCCATGATGTCATCAGTGCAGAAATGATACAAATCTGTCACTTGCAACAGTTTTCATCAATTGTGCAATGATGTCATGCAAATTGTCCAAATCGATGCAAATGACGTTATTACATAATTGATCTAAATCACCATACACATTTGGTGCTTTAAATGTAAAGAAAGGTAAATCAAGATTTCACTGTACTTTCATTCACTGGGCAGCAGAGGAATATTACAAAATGTCTGAAAAAATGAGGTAAAACAAGTAAGTGTGAAGGGGAGTCTGTTGGTGGAAGATCAAAAAGTCAAATGTGGCCATGAATGTGCAATCAAGGCATTATTGCCACCTTCCCTTTTTTTTAATGTGTATCATGAATACTGGAAGGGTTCGTGAGAAAACCATTTTTTCTTTGCTATGTTAAACATCTTAATATAAATGTTTGAATTGTCCATTCTGTGATATAGGGAAATATGCACTTTGAACTTAACATGTCAGAATAATTTTTAAAAACAAATGTTAACATATTAAATATTTATGACTCACTTTGCAATTCTCATACCTGTAATTTGTTGATCCAAAGAAAGCACAGTGTACCTATTTTTATCACATCAATGATTAAACAAATAAAAAATGATCATTAAAGCGAATGTTTGAGTTAGGTAAAACCACAACTTTTGGAGTAGGGCTGCACTTATGATCAAGTTACACATTTTGATACTTTCCGTAGAGTGAATGAATGATTAAGAGAAAAAGAAAAAAGTGATGTCTACTTAAAACTGGTAACCAAAATCTGGTTGTCAAGCAACAGAACCACTGTTCACTTGTCTGCCATCTTAAAGAGATACAGTAATTATATCAGTTATCATTTTACCCTGACGTTATCAATACATACACACAACATTGAAATCACAGAGTTTCTAGAAGTGTTCCCTATAAAATGAAAGTTACAAAGTGATATTTCAGCATTTCTTCAGGATACTTCTCAAAAGTAATCAAATTTAATAAGAATGTTGAATCTCATTACATTTTGTTAATATTTGATAAGATCCCAACAGAAATCATGACATTTCAGTGCTGTAGTGGGAGGGTACCTAAACTATTGAGTACTTTAAAAAAATACTGTAAAATTTAGTTTTAAAAAAATCAACAGAAATTCACTGAAGTTGATAGACATGCTTTAAATTCAAGTGAGGTTTGGAAAGAAAAGGAGGGGGGAAAAATCAGGAACGTTGGATTTAATTTCTCATAGACGAAGATGGATACATAATCTAGCCAATAGAAATATACTCACAAACCTGTACTTTACAGAATGGTAGTAAATATTATATCCAACCTTTGATAGGGAGTAAAAAGAATTGTGTTCCAATTTATACCGAGGAGCCAAAGTTGAGGAAAGTTCTAGAAATTCACACTGAAAGTCTGAATAAATTTTGAATAAGTCTGTATGAAGAATCCTACAGTATCTCTTGAAAAATGTTTAATATTAACTCAATGGGACAAAAAGTCTCCAAAGTTTATCATTATTAAATTGCTATTGCATCATTTTATGAAAGACTATACTAGTGCTGTATTCTTCAACTAAGTTAGCTTGTTTAATATTAAACCATTAATATCAAATAAGCTAGTTTTGAGATCAGACTTAGTAGCTAGACAAATTATGTTGAGGGTGGCTTAAACAAATGGTTTCTTGCATACACCAAGAAATGGGAGTATTGTGTATAATGTTATGATTTCCATCATTCCCTCTTCAGCCATGTAGTGTTTAATTTAGAAATAATTTCCCAGTCTAGAAATTACATTGCTCCAATATTCTGGTTCTTGTAACCATTTTTTACAATGGCAGATCTTCAATAGCACAATTGCACTATTGAAATTGTTCCAGTGATGTGCTTCTGGAAGTATAAATTCAAATATTATTTCCTGCTTCCTAAAATTCCTTCTTCAATGAAACCCTATTTACAAAAGGAATAATAAGTACTTTAGAAGAAAAAAAAAGAAAAGTTAAACGTGACAGAGGATCAAAGGCTAAATAACATATTTAGCTAAAAGTACAAAAAACGGAAATAAACCAAAAAAAATACTGATGAAAATTTTTAAATAATTCACAAATGAAAAAAATGTCAAGGAAGAACTTTACATCAGAAAGTGATATAGGAGGAAAACCACCATATTCTAAATTACACTAACATATTTGGAAACAGTGGGAAACCAGATTTCTGTTTTCTCAATGAAGACCACATTTTTAAATTTTAAATTGTAGGTTTTGTCAAATTAACAGCAATTATACTGTTAAAGCTAGCAAATAAATCACATGTCTATAGCTGACTATTAGGGATGGTGCAAAAATGTGAGGAAAGTACTCAAAATGACAATGCTTCTTGTTAAAAATATCTCCCTTTATTCTCAACCTGGTTGAATACCTGAGCTTGGCCTAATTCAAAATGGTGTTGGTAGCCCATCCCTGCCACCACCTTGTTCTTTCTGACAGTCTTCCTCACATTTCTCAGGCAACTTGATAAATAGATTTTTGGCTGTTTTCTTAAATATTAAATAGTAAAGTACCATCTCTGAATGTTCTTGAGTAATTAATACATGTTACCCCCAAAGATGAAAGGATTATTTCAGGGATGTATATAGTACTACTGAAAACATTCAGTGGACAGTGATAGAAAAAGCATGGATTCATGGAGTACAGAAGTTTAAATTGAAAATTGTAAAAAAGATTCTGAGCATTTGAACTGTCATCTTTGCTTCTTGCTGGATATATTAATTTTTCTGTAAAATCCATCATGCAATTTTCTGTGCACCCACACAAATTTCCTAATCGTGATCGCAGAATTTTAACACTTTCATTTAAATCTGATTTGGGCCTTACAGAAATTCAGTAATGAGTAATTCAGCACAGGGGTAGGTATGTGTGTAATGAGGGAAGTCAACAATTCATCAAGACATTATCTGAAATATCACATTTTACCTCACGCCTTCTTGGTGACAAAATGTTGAAATTTATATTAGGATAGTCAGACTTCAGACTCACTAAAGTAGTGAGAAAGACAAGGAAAGCGTGATACAAAATGGTGGATTATAGCAAATGCACAGTAATATGAAATGAAAAGAGTAATTACTCAAATGAAAGACAACCTCGCAAAACATCAAGAACTGAGAAATACTCTTTACTCTTAGGGTTATAAAGATTTCATCTAGGAGAGAATGGGTTTTCTAGCGAATAGATTATTGGCAAAATTGCGGACAAAAAAGAGAGGTTCTGCATTTTCAAAGAAGGGATTTTTTCCCCCAACTAAAGCAAGTCCTCCTAAGAATGAGAGAAACTAGAACCAAAGTCTGTCCTCAATATTACTATTACAATGGGAAACAGGGAATCTAGAAAGAATTAATGAAATATTCCTTGCTTCACAGTTCACAAAAGCAGTTGTTAAAACTCTACATTCAACACGTGCTTTTAGTGAGCAGAGCGAATGTATTTTTCTGCTTATTGTCCTGAAAAATTGTTATTAGCAGAAAAAAAGTTTTGTTAACAGCACAATGTTTACCAAAATTCAGTTGCTTATTGATGGGGTTTTTTTATTTTCAGAGAAACAAATTCTGTTGTTTTGGACAACAGAGGCCTAAATTAAGCTTGATATAAAGAGGCCAGTTTTATCAACACAAATCAAAGCCACTAAATTCCATTCCAACCTTGCATGGAAAATGCAAGGTATATAGTTTGCTGTAGAGTAGCCCATCAAAGTTTATATCAGCGGCAACTGGAGAAAGGCTCTTGGGTGTGAAAGGGAAAATTAAGCAAAGTGGGTATTTTGAAAAATTCACCCACTTTCCTTGTTTCCGAAAAACATCTTCTATAGATTTCCCCCAATAAAAAACAAATCATGATTTCATGTAACAAAACAACCTAATACCCCAAATTATCTTGGTGAAGTCCAAAATTGTGTTAGCGAAACAAAAAGAAAATTTGTAACAAATCATCATTTAAATGATAGGTACAGAACAGATTGCAAATAGTTAACACTTACAAAATACTGAGATGAGGATAACATGGCCGAATTCTCCCTCTTCTTGAAGACAGCATATAAAATTCCCCCCAATCATTCCTCCAAAGAGCTAATTATTTCTTTATCCCTTTGTTAGCTCTCTCAAAATTTATGTCCCCAGAAAGGAGCATTTCTTGCAATGTCTTTCAGCCTTGCAAAACTAGACAGTCTTAGCAGGGGCTGCCATGTTGAATTGCAAGTCTGATATGATTCAACAATTTTCTTTCTCCTGCGTAGGGTGGCAAAAATCCAAAATAAAAAAAAAAACTTAGCTTCCAATTACCCAGAATCAAAATATTTTGAAAAATCAAAAGGAAATCCTGATTAACAGTCAGGAGAAATAATAAATAATAAAGTCCACCAACAAGTTGGGTTGGTTTTAAAAAATGGAATTTTTTAACACAAAAAACAAGAAGAATGGAGGAGGGAAGAAAGGATGTAGGAGTAGCAAGTGCCAAAGCACTTGGACAAATAAAATGGCATTTTAAAATATTTTCAAAAGAGCTACATTTGATTTCGTACCAGAAAGAGATGTGCCGGGAAGGAGAAAGATTTTGCTGCTCAGTAGCCGCTGGCTTTAACTTCGATGATCTGGACAATCATCAGGAATGATCAGGGTTTCTTTTTTCAAGAAAGGCCAGTTTCAGTGAAACAGCTCTCCCCCCCCCCATGCGCTCCCTTTTCCTTCTCAGAGCAGTTCAGCGCCAAGAAATGGGCGGTGCCTGCATGCCAGGCTTCATCCGAATGAGACGCCAAGGCCGACAAGAGGCTGGCATAAAGAGAAGCTGGCACAAATTCCTCCACTTGGAACTCCACTTCAATATACCCTTCAAATAGTCTCCCTTTATTAGCAAACTGGGGGGGGAAATCCATGGAACCCCCCCTCCCAAGCAAATATCTCTAAAGTTTCTCAGTCTCTATTGAGAACCATTTCCAAAGGGCAATTTCCAACCGATACCTATTCTTTCAACCCATGCCAGTTAAAACAAGCAGCTCATTCTCTATTCTCCCTGTGTTAGCAGCCCAAGGTATGTACATAAAATAAATGTTGACTTCTACTTTCCTAACTTGAGATGGTGGAGGCGGCAAGCTCCTTTAAAACACAGCCAAAGAAGATGAAAGACAAAATGAAACAAAAAGGAAACAAACACAAAACAACCCTTTTATTTTATACAAGAAGCAGTTTCGTTTTGCGAAATGTTTCTTTTGTCGGCGGCAAAAATGGAGTTAAGAGGCATAAATGGAGATGAGGATGGTTTAAAAACAAATCAAAGCAAGCAAACAAACTACCGAGATATGCCAGAAGAGGACACCCTCCCTCCAGCTCCCATTTTCCATTTTTTTCTGTGCCAGCCTTAGAGAGAGAGAGAAAAGAAATTAAAAAAAGAAAGCGAGCGAGCGACTGAGCGAGCGAAAGGGGCAGTGAATAGCTGCTCGTTCAGAAATGGGCCTACAGCCATTTCCACTTTGGAAGCCTCAGCAGTCGTTCTCTCTCTCTCTCTCTTTCTCTCTCTCTCTCTCTCTCTCTCCCCCTCTCCCCGCATTCTCCCTGCCCACTCTGGCTTAGCTGCCAAGTCAGAGTTGGCACTGCTTCCCAGGCAGCACGGAACAAAGCCATTTCCCATCCCTGTACAGGCAACTGTCAATAAGCAAAGTGACAGTCACATCTCCTGCATGTTAATCCTAATGGACAGGAGATGTTTGCAAGAGAATAAAAAGCCCCTTCGCCCCTCCAAAGCCGTACAATAAAATCATTTTTTAAAAAAAAATTAAAGGAAAAAGCCTGCTTCATCGACCCTATTTGGAAGGATCATTTAAAAATACAGCTGTCTGCAATAAGGATTGGAGAGGGAATGAAGGGGGAGTAGAGAAGAGGGTTTACCCACCAACACCCTGGCAAACAAGGCTGCTTTACATCTGTTGTACCTGTTCCTGTTGCCTTCCTTGCCTCTTGGAATCGTGACAAGAGAGAAAAGTCGCCTCTGGTGGGTTGCTCAAAGCTGCGGGTCTGCAGCCCTGTGCAGGAAGTTGGCACCGATCCCAGGTAGGACTTTACTCCCACATTTCTACCCTCCACCCCCTCCTGCTTCTTCCCCTCCCCTTCTTCTTCTCCACCCACCCACCATCTCCCTTGGTAAATTTCACCCTGCTCTTCCTCAACCCTGTACTTAACTTACCTTTTCCCCCTGCACCGTTGTATGCATGGGTGTGCATGCATGTACATTAGGAATCAATCAGATGCACTCAGGACCCTCTAGAATTCAAGCTAAGAAGCACAAACACCCCTTAAGGGTGACCCGGGTGAAAAAGACAGCAACAGCTTCTTGTCTGCACTAGTTCTCCTACATGCTGTTTCACACATGGGTTGGGTAGTGGTTGGGTTAATTCTTTTTTTCCATGCTGCCAAGGAGACTGGACAGAACACAAGGGGGGGGGGGAATACTCCGAACTCTGTACAGCACAATGAATGGAAAATGTTGAGCTTCGTGAAACTCCCAAATCCAATCCCTCCCTCCCCTCCCCTTTCTGCATTTTTAATACTGCCCGGCTTCTGAATTGTTTTGAGCCCACGGTTGGGAGGGAACATACAGTATGGACTCCCTGCTATTGGCAAGAGTCTTGCTGGGGGTGGGTGGGGGAGAACCGAGTTCTCACAATCAAACAGCGAGAAGAGCAAAGAGAAATTAACATCCAATTAGTGCCATGTTTAACGAAGGAGACAGAGACAGCCGTTGTTTTATTGCTCTGTTCTTTTCTTTTGGATCTGACAGGCAGCGCAAAAGGCACCCCCAGATTGCAGTGACGTCATTTTCTCCTCTCTTCCAAGTTTCACAAAGGTTTGTCAAGTCAGACAAAAAATAAATAAATAAATAAAAAGAAAAAAAAATACATTCATAGCCAAATGTCACAAAAACAAAAATTAAAAATAAGATTTCTCTCTCACTTTCTCGTTCTCTGTCTCCCTTTCTCTCTTTTTCTCTCTGTCTATGTCTGTGTGCCTTTGCTTGTTTTCCGGCTCACTCAGCTTGTAAAAGTTTGAGCTGTGTGACACTCCTCCCGGCCTCCTTTGGCAGCGTGACAAGAACTGCTTTGGTGTATCAAAGAGAACAGGCAGCTTTTAAGGAAGAAACTCAATTCAGAGAGATTAAAGAATTCTAATGTTTTAATCAAGGGAAAGCAAGGGGATGAGGGGGAGCTTTTCCTTACATCTGGTGCAACATAAGTGGCTCTCTACATGTTGCTCCTGCAATTTAGAATTAAAGGGGTAAAAGAAATGAAAGAACCAAAACGAGCCAGGAAAGTAGCATTAACCACCCCACTGTTTCTCTCTCTATAGTTGTGAACTTCCAAGCCTTCTATATGGAGAAAAAATTATTTTGAAATATTCTTGGGCATCATGGTTGCAGACAAAGTCTTTCCAGTAACATATGATTCTCACCCATTGGGGTAAGAACAGAAGCCATTTTACCTAACATTATAGCTATATATTTCTTCCTACCAGACAGTCCCATATTTTCCTATCAACAAGAAAAATAGGATCCTTAAAAATGCCTTTAATCCTGTAACAAAACCTGGCAATTTCTCAGTTTCTCTCCCTCCCAACCGGCGACCTTTATATCTGGGCCTCTTGTATCCTATCCAAACTGCTTAGAATTGATTTCTCCAGCTTGAAAGAAATGTAGCGAAGCTTTACGAGCACGTTTCCCTGACCAAATTAACTGGACTGAGTGATGTCCCTTGGTGACAAATGGCCGCTGTTACAGCTCAGCAGCCTTTGGAACCAAGCAGAGCCCTCTAGAGGCACACCTACCAATTTTGGGCTAAAAGAATCCATGTTCAAAAACAGGATAACACCAGGGATATTTCTGCACTAGGATCATTTTAAACTCTAAGCCATATTGAGTATACTGGACAAAAAGCAACATGTAAATGAATACAGTATTCATGTATTTGAATACATCTGTATTTGAAAAAGAAATGGTCAGCTTCCTTACTCCTATTCCTTCCTTGTCTCCATGAAGGCAAACATCTTCTTTTTTATTTGAGTTCTCCTGTTATGATTCCGTAAGGTAGATTTCATTGTCATGAAAATATAACCAATCATACTACATGGTTGGTGTTGTGGCACTGGGAATAAATTGTGATGCCAGCAACAAAGCCATCAATCTTTTCTTGGCTTGCAACGTTCCCCATTTTTAATCTAGGATGGGGTTTTTGGCTAGATATAGAGATGGATCATGACTTAATAAACATCAGCTGGCAGGAAGAGTACAGTAAGGTTGCTATTGTTAAGAGAAAGAGATCCCAACAATTACAAATAAGTACTGCGTACTGTCCATATCAATCTTGAGAAGGCAGAAAAAATGCACACTAAACACATCCACTTCTTTATGATCTGTTCTGGGATTTTTTTTAGAAGAATGACTTGGTCTTTGAAGTAAGTAATGGAAATGGTTCAAAGCAATTTGGGCTCTGCCATGACAAACAGCTTTGTACCTAACCTGAAGTATTTGAAGATAATCTGGAAATATTTTAAATATTTCTTCCTCTAATGTGAATATTGTATTAATATGTTTTATTACTTCAAATGATGGGTTCCCTTTTCTGTACAGTATTACAAAGAAAAGCAATATAAAATTTCCTTTAGAAGTAAAACTAAATAGACCAGAATCTTTTTACAATTTGTTTTAAATCAATTTTACAACTCCTGTGAAATTTCTAAGATCAAGGAAGATACTGGCAATTAGAAAACCTGAGCAAAAAACTGTTTTGGGGTTATATGTTTTTGCTGCAGAATGGCATTTTATTTTGTTCTCCATTATTTTTGCATAATAAAACAAGAAGGAATTGCTGATAGGGATGCAAATTTTTTTCGTAATGAATGCAAACCTGAACCGAATGAAAATCATTTGCTTCAGTCTTCATTTGTTAAGAAACAAATGCTATTATTTGGGGTTTTTTGTTGTCTCATTCATACCTATTCATCACTGATTCTGGGGCAGAATGGGGCTTATGCTTCTCTAGTGAAAGCAGCTGCCTTTGGCAGTCACCATTTTATTTTTTTACAATGCCTAAGATATTTTACATCATCCGAAGGCATCCTGTGGTTTAAAAAAAGTCCATCAATTTCACAGCATGAAAAATTCTAAAGGATTCAGGAAAAAAAATAATCAAATGGTGATTAGAAAAATCAGATCAGAGAAAAAAAATATAAAAGCAATCCAACCATCAGAGCCATAAAAGCAAATGCATTTGAAATGTTTGAATAACAAAAGAGATACGATTTATTTTGTTAGTTAGTATGCTTATAGGCTGCTCCAATCATTTAACTCTGGAAGGCATACAACTCCCAAAACATGTAATCTGGGATTGAAAACAAATCATAGACTGTAATACATGTAAAACTGGGACTCATTTTAACACAGTAAAACCAATTCCTTACTTGGAAGGATAGTTATAATAATAAAATTAAAATAAAGCCAGATCGAAGCCACTGGCTGCTAATGATTAGAACACAAATGTCACAGCTGAAAGTCATCCCTTTTGATCTTCACCAGAAGTTTTTTTCTACAAAATTATTTTCGTATTATGCTTAAATCTTGCTAAAACTCACTCCTATGCTCTGTCTTACTTTAATATACTGTTACTGTATTAATTATGTTACCTAGGTAGTTTGTATGAATCAGTTATTACCTAAGATCTGGAAAGTTGTTTTTCCTCATTCTAGAACTGCTCTAGAACTTTGTGATGTTGGCCTGGCAAAGAGTTCCTTGCCCTGGAGTTTCCTGTTCAAACTAAACACAGTGGGGGTATGGTCACAGTGAGTCTTTTACAAGAAGGAATAGGAAGTCCACCCTGTGACTAGGAGAATGCCCAGAGAGAAGAATGAAAATAGTGGGAATCAGGATCAAATGAAAAAACCACTTTTCATTGCAAAGCTGAACAACTGCTCCCTCTTTTCTTTGCATACTGAAAAGAGACCCATTAAGGCAGCGGTCCCACCCTTTCTGGCTCCGAGGACTGGCAGTGGTGGTGGTGGGAGAGGGGATGGTTTTGTTCATGTGCCCACTGATTGCACAAATGGAGCTCTACATGCTCATAAGCTTGTCCGCTTGCACCGCCTTGTTCCAAACAGGCCATGGCCCGGTACTGTGCCATGGACCAGGGGTTGAGGACCCCTGCATTAAGGGACTCAATAGCCTATTCGAGTAATTTGCTTCCCACTGCTGCTACTCCAAGGAAGGGTCTAGGATGTATGCTTGGCAAAAACCAGTCAGCCATATGGTGATGTTTCCCTGACATTCCAGCTTGAAGAGCATGCCCTACCACATCTTTCAGCTGTTCCTATAAGACACTTTTCCAAGTTTCCATGCTTAGCAAATGCCCCATCCAACAAGCTTGCCCAATCTCAAAGTATCTCCTGATGGGATAGACTGGAAACAATTACCAGGCACTCAAGGATCCAGAAAGTTTGTTAAATATCTTTTATTTCAGTAGATCTAATAAGTCATTATGAAAAACAATGATTGTGGGGTTATCAAAAGCAAATCCCATATAGTAGACTCAATGTTCACATTTTCTACCTCTTTATCCTGTGTCACCTACTGGTCCTAAATTCTCCATTTTGGGCAGGAAGTCTAATTTCCATCTGTTAGTTGTTTGGGTCAGAATATGACATGACGATGTTTTACTTTGACCTTGTAAGAAAATAAATTCTCACAACTGATCATGACAAATTATCAGAATTTGGGATCTCCAGATTTAGACAGCATCTTGTACTCTTGTCCATATCCTGTATTCTGTACCTCAAATTGAGCCTATCATATATAGCTTGATCCAAAGGTGGGTTTCAGCAGGTTCTGACCACTTCTGGAGAACCGGTAGTGGAAATTTTGAGTAGTTTGGAGAACTGGTAGTAAAAATTCTGACAGGCCCCGCCCCCATCTATTCTCTGCCTCCCAAGTCTCAGCTGATCGGGAGGAAATGGGGATTTTGCAGTCACCTTTTCCTGGATTGGGGTGGGAATGGACATTTTATAGTATCCTTCCCTTGCCACGCCCCCCAAGCCACACCCACAGAACCGGTAGAAAATTTTTTGAAACCCACCACTGATTTGATCATTTAAAAATACTGAGGTAATGCTCAGTATTGCGTATAATAACTATTGTCAGAAAAGCCAAGATAAATGTTTTCTATATAAAGAATAAGATTTTTTTAAGGAATAAGAAATAACAGTAAGAAATGCACCAATAATTTTTAAAGATTTGCATGGCTGGTGAGAGAAAGAATATTTGGGCCTCTTTCTCCACTTCACCTTCTTCACATTGCTCCTTTTTTGTCTAGCAGAATAATCTGGTATGTATGAGAAAAATGAAAGAATTCTTGGCATTAAATTAAATTAAATAGTTTTACTATTTTGAATGAACAATACATATAATTTCAAACACTCAATTACACTTACCTAAGAATGTGAACCTTCAGTTTCCATCACCTTCATGCAGCTTAGCCAATAAATGATAGTTCAGCTTCTAATAGACTAGAGCAGGGGTGTCAAACTGGCGGCCCACAGGCCGGATGAATCACACATAAGCCATGCCCACCCCAGCTCCATGAATGGGAAAAACATCATGAAACATCACCTTGCAAGTTTGACATCCGTGGACTAGAGGCTTCTTTTCTGATCTAGATAATAATAGAGGCAGAAAAGTGTTCTCATTTATGCTGCTATCTATAGATTTTAGATATTGTTTCTTACTTAAAAGGATCCATGCATCTGCCTATTAATATAAACAAACAGTAGGTAGGTTTGTGATTGGGCCCAATATATGGAGCAGTTTTAAAACATGCGAGTTGTGACTGTGCCTATCTATTAAGATATTAAGAGATAGTTTGGTGTAATGGTTAAGGTTCCCTATTGAGAAAACAGAGACTATGACTTTTAGTCCCACTTTAGGCATGAAAAACAGCTGGGTGGCTTTGAGCCAGTCACTCTCTCTCAGCCCCACAGAGTTGTTGTGGGGAAAATAGGAGGAAGGAATATTATTACTGTATGTTGGTCACCTTGAGTTACATATAAAGTAATAAAGGTGGGGAAAAAATCTAATAAAATAAGTTCATACTTCAAACTGTGTTTCTAATTCTTGCTGTGCTTAAAACAGCCCATCTCAGCTGTATTACCTCATTCCTATTACAATTTACAATTTTTCATTTTTTCCTCATAAAACCCTGTAATATGGACTATATTAATAGTCCAAAGTCACCAGTGAGATCCATGATCATATAGAAACTTGAACTTGGATCTCTATAATGATTATCTAACATTTTAATGACTACAATTTTATTTAGACCAGGTCATTTCTAATCGTTTTGTTTTGTTGAAAAACATTGTGCGATATAGAATGGTTGGCTCCAGAACAAGCCATTTTTTTCCTCTGGAATGGGATGTCTGACATATTCTGGATGTGGTTCACATATTTCCAGAAGTGCACTTATCATAATAAGAAATAATTACCTTTTCAATGATTTTTTTTTGCTGTCTTGAATAATATACATCTGGAAATGTATGAACCATTCCAGAATGGACCAGCTCATTCTAGAAAAAAATGGAATTCCTGAGCTAAATATGTTTTGTACAGAAGTATTCTGTTTTGCTCTTATCCTTATAATTTCTATGAGATCTTAATTTGTTTTTAAAAAATATATCTGCAACTCTCAAGTGAGGAGCAGGACAAACATAATTTGTCCTGCTCCTGACTGAGACATGATTTTAATGCCTGCCACTTTCACTCTGAATTCAGCATTCAAGGATTGAGCTGGATTATGGGCTTCCTAATGTCACCTCCAAATGAAACACCAAGAAAGGAGACTAGGGATTAATGGATAGCAAAATCCAGTCATGCCCTTCGTGGGAAGCTTACTCCCCTCTCCCCCTCCTGTTGGGATCTGTTGTCTTCTTGTCTACGTGCTGCCTGCTCTGGGACTGTACAACAGGAGCAAAGGAAAGCAAACATTCCTATCACTCTAGGCCAAGGGCGTGCTCCACGGCATCAATAATGGATCCTCTGTTTAGCAAGCAACACTGCATCATCTGCAGTCATATCCTACACTCTCTTATCCTGACTGGAAAGCATCTTCTCTGCACAGTAGGCTATACTCTAACCCAGTACAGAGAAGCTACCTGAGCCTTATACCTGGGAAATTGTCACCTCCTTTAGAACGAAATTTAGACAATCAAGATAGATCTAAAACATATTTACTCCTAAACTAATGGGTCAAATATTGTGATTACTTAAATGCTTGCCAACTACCCCAGATCAGTATCAATGTTTGATTTCACAATTTTGATATTGACGCACCACTGACATTTAGGGCCTGGACTAAAGTTTCTCTTTAGGTGTTCAACCAGTCTTGCTCTTTCCCAGATACTCCATTCTGTTTTTCACCCTCGAAGTTTCTTGATTTCTCCACTCCTGGTCCAATAGACTCTGTTTAGTGGCCATTCAGCTTTACTCTAAAATTCAGTGGCCCAATTTCCTTCCTTTTGTGTGGGTATGTTCTTTTTGTGGCATTGGTTGTTATTAAAGTTATGTATATTTTGAATTGCCTGACTCCAGCTGGCTTCTATGAAATTATTTTTTGCTACAGATTAGCTGTGTGTATGAATGGTGCATTATAGTAATCTTATGATAATGAAAGTCTAAAGTTTAAAAGCATCCAAGGATATCATTAAACTGCTGAAGCTTCAAAGGAATGACAAATACTCAAAATTGTGAGAGATTTAATCTTAAAACTACTCAGCATGATTTTACAGGTAAGTACATATAGCCAAATCCTGACTCACAAAATCAGAGTTGATTTTAAATTGCAAATCTGTAAAGATGGGCTTATCTTGCAAGCTTGTGAAGATGGATTTTACTTTCTGCAATGCACTCCATTAGTTTGCAACAAAATTTTGTATCTTTTTCTAACAATGAGGGGAAATGGTAGCAGCTAAACAGCTTTTAGAATTAATATCTTATTTTTTAAAAAAGAACAAACAAGCAAGCCGCTATATAATGCAAGTATGCCAGGAACCATTGAGTTTTGAGACGAAAACACCTGCATTGAAAACCTAACTTTGAAATTTGAAATTCTCAGATTCAAAACTAAATGAAATTTTGTAATATGAACAAATTTCAAACTTTTATCTCAGCTTCTGCTTGAGTATAAAGCTTCAAAAATATAAACCTTTCTAGGTCTGCTCTGACATAGATACTCAAGTGTTTCAAATAATTTAATGATTGTGCTGATGAATTTTGGCGGGTGGAGATGAGCAACTAAACTCTTTTCTTCCATCATACATAATTTTCCAATTTCATCTTTAAGAATTAAAGCCATGGTTGCTTTAAACTTTTATTTGGACTCTGTTTTTTGTTAAGAACACTGCTTGCAAAATATCAAAACGTACATTGAGAAACTGAAAGATTAAAACTTTTCAGTTACAATTTTCTGGAAACAGGAGGTCTCTTCATTATGGGGGGGGGGGAAGAGATGAAATGGAAAATCATTTGCTGTTCCAAGATGATACCATTATCTCCAAACGGAACTAGATATAAAACACACAGGAAACAAATAAAGAGGGAGATGGGCATATGCTCTCCTTCAAGACACATGCAAGATACAGAGAAAAACACAATTATATACCATGAATTTTAAATAAGTGAACCACTTGCCACAGTTTGCTACTGAGAAAGACTGAAGAATTACAAAATGGGAGGTACTTAGTAACTTTGCTCAAGGAAATAGTTCTCAAAATTCAAAACAGCTGTATTATGCTAAAAATAGGAAACGATCAGAAGGAAGTGAGCTCTCAGCTGCATGTATCCTGTTTTAGTAGATCTGAGGTACTGTTCTACTTCTGGTGCCTCCTCAACCCAGCAAAGTCTGGGCTGGACCTACCACAAGCACAGCTGGGTTTTTAGAAAGAACCGCTCGATCCAAGTTGTTTGCCAAGTTCTTGGTGGAATGTAGTAGTGTTTTAAGATCCAAGTTATCCGAAAGGCTTCCTCTTGCCACATAGCTTTGAGATATTCAGAAATTGTTCAATGGCATTCTATATGCAATCCTAGTTAACTATGAACCCATACTACAGTAGCTTAGTAACTGTGTAAATTCATTATTTATCCCTTGCAGAGCCAGAGGGATAATTCATATCTATTTATTAAATAATTTACTGTATATATTTTAACTTTTGATTCTCAATTTAAAATTGCATATTTTAAAAATTAAAATAGTTACAATATTTTGTATTATTTTAAATTGCATTTTAAACCCTGTACTGTACTTAATAAACAATACTGTATAACCTTTTGATGGCTTTAGAATGAATGAATCTGAAAACGTTCTGAATCTGAAATCGCATTCTGAATTTGAGTAACTCTGTACCTTTGCTGAATTTAAAAAAACCATCCATACCGTCTGCTCTCTGTTGTCTTATTAATACACTACTCAGTTGTACAACCAAATCAGTCAGCAATTTGCCAGCTGACTGAACACAAAAATGCAGAAATTGATATATCCCTCCTCTCTCAACCAAACAAGAATAGGATCTGGCAAAAAAACAAATGCATCATCTCTGAAGCAGATTGTAAAATATATCAAATGCTTCTGAGAACAGACTGGGAGAAGTATGGGAACATTCAGACTAGCCATATGAATCTGCCTTGTATCTAGTCATAGCCTGTCATGAGTCTGAAGCTAGCAGCCTGATAAGAAATCTCAAACAGCACAGGAAAGAAAAAATACCACCTGTATAGTCTAATTTAAAAATCAATATGGCTTTTATAGGTATATAATCATCTTCCAGTTAAAGAAGGGTAATACCACCATCAGATTTATTAAAAAAAAAAACTGTTTATGGAATAGTACTATTCAGAGCTTTTAGTAATCCCTATTTAATCATTCCTTCAGTGACCTTGTTCATTAAGTATGTCACTTTTCTCCTGACTGAAAAAGTGGATACTGATTGAGGCTAAGAGACAATAATTTGTCTAATGTTAATGAGTCATTACATGACACAGGTATGACCTTCATTGGGGTTTTACCAGCTCATACTTGGCTTGTAACAGTATGTGCTTTCATAGGAGCAACTCATATTGTAGTCAATAGAGTTTAATTCAGAGTAAATATAAATAGAATAGTATTCCTAATTATAAAAGCATTTAATCTATGTAAGTATGTCATAAACTGGTATCTTTAAAAGATAAGTAGTTCATGTAGTTAGCTTTGACTCATATAAATATAACTCTACATCATGGGTGAGCTCAATTTGCACATTTTATGATTAACAACTTTGACAAAACTAAAAGCACGCTAAGAGATTTTTAAGATTAGATAAATTTTGTCCAAAAATAGCACGGATAAGAATAAATAAATGAATAAAATAAGAACTAGGGCCTACTAGTTCAATCCTTATTTTAAAAGAATATTGCAACCTAATCAAGATACCACATATCATCATTCTCTTTAAAATAATCTACATTCTAGAAGTTACTTGCTAAAGAACTTCAGAAAAAAGGCTGCCCTGTTACTTAGGGAAAAAAAATGCCTTCAAAATTTCACTTTCTTGGCCTGTATTCTGTATTCACTTATCTTTATCTTAAAACAATACCATCAGCTATGATATCTAATTCAGGACAAGAGACAAGAACCATTTTAAGATGACTTGGATAGAGTGGAAAGAATTTTGCTTGCTTTTGGACAATATTATTCATTCGATTAGACCTGGATTTTATATTCTCCACTTGATATCAGAGGCAGAAGGAACTAGATTCAAATGTGCAAATTTTTCCTTGACTAGCTGTATTTATAGGTAAAAACTACAAACCTACCTAGATTAACAAGTAATATTAACACAATTGAGATAATTTTCACATTTTATTTTTCAAATGTCAAATAAGATTTAAATTAATTTACTTATTTATATTAACAAGCAATATTAAGTTGAGGTCATTTTCATACTTTATTTTCAAACAGATGTCAAGTAAGCTTTGAATTAATTTGCTGTAACTGTACATTTATGTTGACATAAACAACTTTAAAATTTTGGCAAAGATCAGAAGCCATGGAAGCACCTGCATTTCTAGAATCCATAAAAACCGTTCCCCACTTAATTGTGCCGAATGCTTACACAATATGTTTTTCAGATGTGATCTCCAAATCATCAGGACAAATATATCAGTTCAAAAGATCATGATGATAAAATAAAATTTCTGGGCCACTATATTTGGAAGACAAATTTCATCCCTTTTAAAGAATTCCTACAACTTTTCTGAAGTGAGAGATTGTGAACATTTTTTCTTTCTGGGTTAAAAGAAAAAACCAAGAAAAACAATGACAAAATAGACATACCATACTTCACTGTATGAAAGTTACAAAATTAATGCACTTGGCTCCTGACCCAGAAAGCACTTTTCCTGAAGCCAGCTCAGATCCATTTGGGAATTACTGAGTAATACATACACACATGCAGAAAACATAAAACCTATCACCAAAGTTAAGTGGGATGGAATCACCGGCTCTATTTACAGCAACACTAAATGGAAACAAGACTTTCTTCTGTGTATAGATAAAGCTGGAATACAGCTTGCTAAGCAGCATTTTCAGTATTAATATTGCACAGTGAATTAGTGTACTTCAGAATCCCAATGTTACATTTTCATTCTTTAGTCAAGCTTCCTGATGACCAACATCAATTGAGGTTTTTAATAATAGGACCAAAAAGACAAAGCAGCATATTTCCCATATTCCCTTTGTGGTATCTTCTGCATGACTGCAATTTGAAAATAGCTTTTTCTTACCTTTGTGATATGCATGATTTAACTGTATAAAATTCAGAACTGAAGCCACATGAATTCTCACTTTCATTTACAGTACACAGTCTTCCTTTGGCTCTATTTAAGACTATTCACATGAGTAAGTAATTTGAATATGACAATTTGTCAGCAGGCAAGAATATTTAATTGATAAAAAAGATATTCCTTCACCAGAAATATAAATTTACTATGCTATTTGCAAAGCTGCTAAAAGTGGGACTCACATTAATTGACAAATCTCCTTGTAGCGAAAAGTAATATAATTAGTAATTTGATTGTAGGAATTGTAAGTAAGGCCAAGTTGTTTAAATGTTAAACATTTAAATGTTTAAACATTAGGAAAAGCTAAGCAGTAAAAACTATCTGAACAGTGCAATCCTGTAGCGGTTTGTCTAAAAGTCATTCCAACTTAACTTAGTGAATTTTGAATCAGTAAACTTACAGTCTGAAGTAAATACTAGAAAAGCTAACTATGATCTAATGAGTTAAGTGTTCACATTATAAATGCTGCTTAGCTGGAATAAGTTACCTGCAGGAGACATCCCTATCCAGCCAAGCATTTATTAAAAATAAAATCAGTAATGTAGTGCAACATTATTTCATATTTATACAACATGGAGAAATACTGCTCATGGTATTCAGCAAAGTCCTTTTCTTGGCTCTTACTACTTTACTTTGGTCAGAAATCACCCCAAAATCCTGACTTATAGGTATGATAATTGTTATTGTCAGATGTATTATCTTTGCAGCTGTATTGAATCTTAATATCAAAAATCCTTCTGTCTGACATTTGGAATGTCTCTGTATGACATGAGAACTACCACAACTCAACTATCATACATACACAACATTTTCTTGTACTAAGGGCTCTGCAGCCCAGTTTTCATTATCACAGAATTCTTCCTAAATCACAACATACAGTATTTCTTGATTTACAAACATTCGTTTAGTGACTGTTCAAAGTTACAGCAGCACTGAAAAAGGTGTTATGACTGGTCCTCACACTTATAACTGTCACAGCATCCCATGGTCAGGTGATCAAAATTCAGAGACTTGGCAACCAGTTTTGGTATCATGTGATTGCCATGTACAACCATCCCAGCTGGCTTCCAACAAGAAAAGTCAATAGGGAAAGCTGAATTTGTTTAACAACTGTATGATTCACTTAACAACCATGGCAAAAAGATCCTGGGCATGACTCAATTAATAACTTCCTTGCTTAGCAACGAAAATTCTAGTCTCAATTGTGGTCGAGAACTACCTGTATCAAGCTTAAAGTTGTAATCAATACTAAATAAAAAATAAAAATAATTTTTTTTTGGATAGATCCATGTATATAATCCATTCTACCCTAGGGTTTAAGGTCCCACTTAAGAAGTGCCTTTGTCAAATATTTAACTTAAAAAAATAGATAATGCAAAATAAGCTGCCTAGAGATATTATAAAAACTAAACAATCAGGTTTATACACGTCATGATTAAAAAATTCACTATTAAGAGTTTTTGTGGTTTTGCTAAATGTTAGGAATGAAAGGTATTCCAACATTAGTTGGATTTAATATATAGACTAATAACATGGCAAAACCCAAAACTGATAAAGAGATAAAGTTTAAGCTGTTTTCTCTAATGGTACTAAAGGGGGGAATATGCATTCCATCTTAAATCTTATTTAAGGGAAAATATAAATCAGCTTCTTATATCCTGCAAAGCCATGACTATGCCTGAAAACCTGAAAAGTTATTATTTGGGCTGCCCCTTTGATCCAAGGCCTGACCAGCACTATCCCCTTCGTTTGGCAGGCAAGATCTGGCCAGAAATATCTGAACTGTTTGTTGTCAAGCTTACTGAAATGAGCTGTTCTTACTGCTGAAAACCTTCTATTTTACAAATGAAAAAGAATGGTAAAAACAAACTGTTTTAGAGTCTCTTCTACAAGGATCTAAGTTTGCTTCTGTCTGCCAAATGAAATTAGTCAATGAAAAAAGTTGTTGGTGTAGATGCTCTACGAAAAAGTAGACTGGAACCTCTGAAGAGCTGCCCCTGGAGAAAGGAGAGGAACATGTTATAGAAAATGGTTTAAGATCTGTTGCAACTTCTTGCCGATTGAATTGCAATAATCACAGGGATTGCAATAATCACAGGGACAGAGAGACCACAATACCTGGCAATGAAACTTCAGGCTCAGCGAGCATGGGAATATATATCTTTAAAAAGAATGCGGAGGGCTGGACAAAAAATGTAACTTTTTGAATATTGATGAAAGAAAGCAAATATAATGCTATTACAGGATGATGTCAGCCAGGGAAAAGAAATTGCCTAGAGACTCAATTCACATGATTCACAAATTTATTTTCAGTGGCAACCCCTGGTTCCACCCCCCCCCCCATCCCATTTTAGTGTTTGATCTGTTTCTTCTCTATTCCTAGTAGGATTTCAAATGGAAGCTTCCCAAAGCCTTCATGAGGGCATAATAATTCTCCACACTAGCTATTTAGAAGCTTTTAAGACACTCTTTATTTTCCTTTTAGGCAGCACGACAAAGACATTAAGTGAGCAAGGTTCAGTGACAAGGAATCAAAAACTCTTCGGTTCCGAACAGTGGTATTTAAAAGGTTTTATAGAAACTCAATTTAAAAAATATACAGCTTCTTTGTTATGAGAGCCAGAAAGCCACTAGAACGAGAGAATTCTCAAATGTACCACAGTGGGATTTTTTGGAAGATTTATATTGAATGTAAAATCAGTTTCAAGTTCTTGCTATGACTGATGAATAGAAAACCTTGGACACTGCTTGAGATACATTGTTAAAGTTTATTTTAAAAAGTGTCATTTTTTTGTTTTTCGAACAAATCTACTGTATCAATAAATGGTTACAAATTGATACGATTAACTTAGTTACAAACTAAGCAATAATGTGATACAGTTCTATAGGTTTTGTTATGCAAATATCACAGGCAACACAAAATCTGTTTTCACTTGCAAAAATCTATCCAAGATTACTAGACATGAAAATGAAACACTGTTCCTTCCAATGAACAACCTTAATTCTCAAATATTTCTATTTTTTCACCTCTGCACATGAATGAAGTTTGTATAAACTTTTGAGAGGAAAGAAGAATGAGATCTTATTGCATGGAGAACACTATCACAACACACAGAAAAATCATAGACTGATGCCCCTATTTAGACACAATATATAATTAGGGTATCTGTAAGCAAATGGGGGGGGGGGGGAAGAATGAGCAGAATCCAAAGCCTGCAAGAATCAAGTTATCATCTGATAATATGTTCTGATGATGTTGTAATTCTATTTTTTTTAAAAAAGAAGTTAATAAAGGCATAGAATGTTCCTGTTTGTACATCTCAATATATGCTGAAAAACACCACTGAACTGACAATACTAACATTATAGAAAATAAAACATATGGATATAAAGACAAATGATAATGTCATGGTTTGGATTAAAATAAAGCAAGATATATATATATAATTAGAAAAATGCAACTAATGATCTCAAGTGTTAAAAGTACAAGGGTAGAAAGAAAACAGGAATCAATAAAATTTTAGAAAATATTTTGATGCACAGATAAGTTTTTTTAAAAGTGTCTTGATTTTCAATAAAAAGTAGTGTTTTAATAAGAAACAAAGCAATTTAAAACTGGATTCCAACCATTCGTTGCCAAATTTCTAGTTGTGCCTTTTAGCAATACATGTCTAGGAAATCTCTACTTATATATATATAAAACACATATAAAGAACCCATGTATTGTAAATTCCCTTCAGTGGGAAAAGACTGAAGGAGCTTTCAAAGACTAAAGGAAGAAAATGTAAAGATAAAAGGTGAGGGAAGACAATCTTTTTCATAGTCAACGAAAGGGCCATTTTATCTGCTGCTTGATTTTAATAAGGTAATTCGGAATAAGGTAAGAAATAGTAAAAAAGAAAGAAAGAAAGATGGAATTATTTACATGGGCCAGTATCCATTTCAGAGAAAGAATGATACTCACCTGAGCACTAAGGTGTCTCCAACAATGAATCCAAGAAGAAAACACAGGGGCATATGGAGGGAGCCCTGCAAGTAACCTACATAGCAGAGAAAGCTGTCACAGAGGAGAACACACACATGACCTAGTACTGAGACAGAGAAAGTAACCAGCAAGGCATATGTGGCAACAAGTATGTTTGCTAGAGAAAAAAGCATGTTTTTACCTTAGAAAGTAACTGGCTTGTGTTTTTCCTAACATAAGATTATGATAAATGTTTCTATGATGTGCTGGATATGCCCATTTTCTGGATTAGGCAGAAATTTCAATTTTTAAAATCTTAGTCTGTACTTTATAATTTGCTCATACTGGATACGGTTGTCCCAAAGGTGCTTTTTCAAGAAGCAACTGGACTTTCTGTTTTTTCTTTGAAGACATTTCACTTTTCATCCAAGAAGCTTCTTTAGCTCTGACTGGATGGTGGGGCACCTTTGGGACAACCATGACCTGAATGACTGAGAATCTTCATAGACACTGGATATGGTTGCAGTTTATTATATACTGACCAAAGTTTAATATTGACTAATTTTAAGACTGACCTAAAATACTAAGTATTTTACATTGATCTGAAGCAGGCAGATGTATATCATGTAATTTTGAAATGTTACAGCTGGTTTTATAAGGCCTGTACATTTCCCTTTCTATTAATTTTCCCTATTTCTCTTTTCTTCTTTTTATTCTTCCCTTATCTTTTTTCTGACTGCACTTCTAAAATAAATTATAATAAAAAAAGAAAGGAAGTTATCTGCAAAATATATTACTTGTGCATTCTATAGTTAGATATTGCACAAATTTATAGGATAAAAAATTCTTCAAGTTTTCTGTCATTTGATAATTGTCAATTTTTATAAACTTGAAACATACTTGCAAAGAATCTATATGCTTCATATTTATTAAACTAAAAATGGATGTGGTTGATAAAAATGTTTGCTCCAAACACAAACCAGACACATATACAACCAAACCAGTTATTTTCTTCCTTCATTGATTGCAAATCTATCCATATAAAATAAAGCCTATTCTCTCTCTCTCTCTCTCTTTTTTCTTTCTTAGTGTTCAAGTAGTGTTGGTTTTCTTTATGCATATAAGACTTAAAGTCTTTTATCTAGGAAATTGAGACTATTGAGTAATTCAGCCAAACAGGAAGCCCACTAAATTTTCACTGGAGAGATTAAGCTGTATTTGCTGGAGTGGGGGTGGGGATTAATATCACATACCCACAGTTGTTCACTGCCATGAGATCACCCACAAGAAGAAAAGGGTATGTCAACATGCTCACGGCAATCTGTAACAAAGAAATATCTGAGGCATTCTTTCTATTCTTCACAGTTAAGAAAAAAAAAAGTAAATACTGTAGGTAAAGAAGGCTTTGTGCAAAAGAAATAGGAAAGGACCAGTTTACTATTTTTTTTACCAGAATTGGGTTACATATTAGTACAGTAATATACATGTAACCAACTTACTGGGCCACAGAAACAATTGTAAATAATAAAAAAGTCTGCACTTAAGAGAGTTCTCAGTACTTAGTATATTGCAGCTACACTTTTCTGTTGATATGTACATCTGGAAAACAGAATATATCTTCAGTTCCTATTAATTGCAGCAAAAGATTTCTCACTAACTGTTCTGAAAAGATATCATGATATTGCTTTTGTCTTATTCCCAGCCAACTGAGATGTAAACTGATATTGCCTTTACTTATAGTAGGGTTATAGTAGCGTATTCCATTTCTTTTATAAAGCCTGCGATACAAATGATCATTGCTCTCTCATTTATGATGTGATTTATGACGCAGGCAGGGCTGGGATCTGCCATCTCCAGACAGCTAGGACTTATAAGAGCAAGGAGAGAAGCATGCATGGGGAGCAGACTCATTTTCTACCGGAACTCCAATTACATGGAGCTGCTCCCCATCTGCTTGCTCAGCACTGGCATCTGATACCGGATAAAGTAGCAGGGGAGTGGGACAGAAGTCAATTTCTCCACTGTTAGATCTCCAATCACATGGAACTGAACCATCCAACTAGAGACCTGAAAGGAAAAGGCTTGGCTCCTGTAACCATTTGTGTGTGATGAGACTTTCCGAGGTTGCTGAACTCACACAGATTGAAAAATTTTCAAGGCGCCTCAAGAGCTCAACACAATGGGTTAGGGTTTTTTTTTTACATATTACAATTATCAATTGACGAGGTATTTGTAATCTGTCTCATATCTAAACCTTCATCTGTGTAATCCACTTGTTTTCCTCTCTCTCTCTTTCCTAACATCTCCTTTTATATTATATGTATATCAAATCACTCAAACATCTGAATAGTGAACCACAGCTCACAAAAGCTTATGCCTTTTAATAAAATCTGTTATTTGGAAAAGTGCTGCCAAGACTTCTGTCCCTCCCCCCCCCCCCCCCCAATTCAGGGAGTGGAATTGTTTTTGGCCATGCTGGCTGGAAACTGACTCCCAAGATCAAGCCTGGGAGGAGAAACAAGAGCCATGAATCAGGAACATACAACTATACACATTACAAAAGGCACAAATCTTACATACCCCCATCACAAATTTAGTGTAGCTCCGAATGACAGAAGCTTGGTTGAACTGTAAGAAAAAACAACAATAATCCAAATCTAAAGTTTCTTGGGGACCAGGACAACATACGTGTTAAATAAATACACTTGACAATAAACTCTTGCTAAGGCACATGCAAAGATCATGGCAGAAGCCTTAACACAACAGCAACCTCATCAGTAACTGACCCTCAGAAGGAGTGGCATCATTTTAGGCTCAAAAGAGGTGAGAAAACAAACAAACAATGGAACTATAATTTTCTTAGGAAAAAATTCAGGAGATTAATTAGAAGACCCTACTCGACTATAATAAACTTTAGTAACACCAGACCAACTGTAATATTTGAATCTTATTAATAACCAGAAATACCAAATTTTATGATTAGTTAGGAAATAGCTTTCAATGTTCAATAGATTTTGTTTTTCCTTAGACTTAATTTACTTTCTATAAAAAAAGACAGTGAGTGAATATGGGAAAACTGTCGGCATAAACAAAACAAAACAAAACAAAACAAAACAAAACAAAACAAAACAAAACAAAACAAAAAACAAAAAACTGACCAGAAGGAAATGATTGTTGTACAATAATACTTAAGCTTGTGAAATTCTGGTTTCTTCCAATCCATTTTCTTGCTCGACATTATCATGAATTATTTATTAGATTTATATCCCTTTCTCCCAGGCTTGTATGAAAGTCTACCTGGGGATGTCTATTTATCCTTCCAACCACCACACATATGAGGTAGATTGGACTGAAGATATACAACTGGTTCAAAATGAATTTTCATGGCTGAGTATGAACGTGCACATTAGCTGGGAGTAGCCTGAGGTTTTACCCACTACACTGCACTGGATCTTTGGGGAAGAAATTTTAGAGTCCAATAAGATTAGGAAGGTCATCACTCACATTGTCATCCACAGCATAAGTGTTGATAAAATGAGCCAGAAGGTTGCAACACCACAGAAAAATAAGATCACCTAGGACATGAGGAACTAAACCTCTGAGGGAAAAGAAAAGAATACGAGAAAATATTAAATAAAAACACTCTTAAATTAACCTCATACAATTTAGAGAGTAACAACAGCAAAGTCTGTAAAGATTATACATATGAAATTTGTATTTGGAATACAAAAACCCTAGAGAGATTGTTTGGAACTTAGAGACTAAATCAAGTTCTAAGGCATGTGGTAAGAAAATAAAAGATACAAGATCTTAGAACTTCATCAATGCTCTAATGCACAGGGAGGAAAGAAAAGGAAGAATGAACCCCAGGCCAAATGTTAATGCACAGAGAACAAAGAAATCTGATACACAGCAACATGCCTTGGAAAACTAATCATAAATATGAATATTAATTCAGTAGTAGTAAATAATTTTGAGCATGCAGAAAGCAATGAGGATGAGTGAGAGCCATTTAGTATTGTATCTATATCTATAGGATAATAGTCATTAACTATGCATGTGCCTATGTTTAACTGCAACAAAAACATTTTATTAACTCAACCATCAAAGAGTCCATACTGACTGGAAGTCATATTCTTGCTACAGCCTACTCTATTTTCTAATTAACTGCTAATATTAGTACTAGTCCATATACTTTAGATGTTACCCCTTTGTTGGCTACTCTGTGCCAGGCAGGATACAGTGGATGAAAAGACCCTTTTTAATCCTGGAAGTTAGCTTTCAGGCATGCAAACTGTTCGCTGGTTAAAATTGCCATGTTCCTGAGTGTTTACATCCTCTCAAAAGACTTTCCAAAGGTGATAATGTGATAGGAAATGAATAGAAGGGGGATTATTAAATAAGTGAGCAATAGCAATGTCATCTTTCAATATTGTAATTCCTTATAAATTAAATATCTAATATTTGTCTTGGTTCTACATACTGTTTTGTTCTGGTTTCATTTGAGTTTTGGAGGAAGGCTACCAGTGTGCCATTTTAAAAATCTCTCAGTCCAAACTAAGTTGCTCATTTCTGTTTGCAAGATTTTGGAAGTGATTTGCATTATTTCCTTCCAAGGACTGAGCGAGAACGTGATTAGCTGAAGGCCACCCAACTGGCTTTGTGCCTAAGGCAGGACCTTGTGGTCTCCTGCATTCCAGCCTTGTGCCATAAGCAACAATCTGGATTTCTCACTTCATTTTATAAAGTACCCATACAATATTTTAACATTTTTTTGCTGTTAGAGAGGATTTGAACCATTCAGAAAAGTTAAAGTAGAAACTCTTTAAGATTTTTTTTAGAATCTTGGGAAAAGCCAATCATATGAGATACCAATCTAAACCGGTGACCAGGAAATGTATAGGTTGATCGTATTCCTAATTTAATACAGTGATGTCTATTTTCCAATTCAAAATAACTTTACTGATTTATTCTATATATCATTAAGTTAAATTTAGCACTGATTAAAATGTAGGTGCTGAAACAGATTAATAATTTCCTAGTTTGAATCAGTCCTAATAATTCACTGTGCTTAAACAGGTCTTGCAATTCTTCAAAAATGTATCTAGGAATTTTATGAAGGGAAAAGTTCCAAGTCCAATTGTTTTATGAGAGATTGTTATTTTTATGTGGAACATGAATTGTGACTGATCATGGGAGACAATAAATTGTCAAGTATTATCTCTTTTATATAATGCCAGAAGGCATTAGCACATGTAATACATGTTTAATAAACAATTCTGAACTTCGAACTGAATTATAACACTTAAGGAAAGCTGATTGTTCTGAACAAGAGCTGATTCAGTAGTGTGAGAATTGATCCTCAACAACACAGCAAGTTCAGGCTTAATTAAATTTGCTGGCAATTGGAATAGACTTACTTACACAAAGAATCCCAAGAGTCCTTCTTCTTTCCAAATTGTCTTGACTGAACTAAATATATTGCTGTTGACAAAGGAAAACCATTAGATCTGGGCCGAAGTGCTCTCTCACACCTTTTCATCCTAAAGTAAATTACTGCATTGCTGCCAGTATATTTCAACAACAGGAAAAGAAACATATATTTCTTAGAAATAATTATTGATATTTATCAAATATTTTATTACCACTGGCCAGTGCAATACTATAAAACCCCTTGTTATTATTCTCAGATTAAGGATAGTTTAGGCATCCTCAAACTACGGCCCATGGGCCAGATATGGCCTGCCAATGCAAAGTATCCGGCCCACGGAGTGGTGTGATTAAGCCCTGCCCCTTGCTGTGGGCCTTATCTTCCAGCAAGCCAGCTGGAAGGCCAGCTGAGGGGTGCTTTTCAAGGCACCGGCACAGCCTTGAAAAGCAGCTCTGGGCTTGTAAAGTACTGCTTTAAATTAAAAGTCTTTTTCACAGCCATGTGAACCAGGGCCGGTGTTTGAATAGGGGAAGGGGGTGGTGTAGCCTTGAAAAGCTGCTCTGGGCTTTAAATTAAAAGTCTTTGGAAACAATTTAAACAGTTTAGAAAGGAGAAAGGCAAAAAAATGGACTGTTAAATTGGCCACCCTCACCCAATCACATGACCACCTAGCCACGCCCACCCAGCCAGTCTGCCCCCCCCCCAACAGTCTGAGGGACTGGGAATTGGCCCCCTGTTTAAAAAGTTTGAGGACCCCTGCTATAGAATGTTAAAAAGATCTCACCTGTACTTAACTTCTCGTCCTACGAACTGGACCATACAGCGCATAGATATTACTTCAAAAGAAAAAACAAGAGATAAGAATATAGAAGTAGTTCACTTACATATTTTTATACTGAGAAAATATGTCAAAATTGAAGATATTTTCTTAATAGCAAAAGGAGTTTCAACTGAAATATTCTACAGGCGTCTGGAATTCAGAATTCTCTTCCTACAGTGATCTATCAGATGAAACCTAAAACAATTATCTGCAAAAGTAATAACAATGGCTTGTATTCCTTGTGACTTGGAATTTAGAGCCTTACTTATTTTGATATTAAATATATAATATTTATAAATATGAAGATGACTCTGAATTTAAGAGGACATTTTGCCACAGGAAAAGTAGATAGGAACAAAATATATACCAACAGACAAAAATCCTGTGATGTGTCTAACTTTTCCATTTTGCCAATCTAGAATTGTCAATTCCAGCTGAAACCAGTCTGAAAATGCCTCTTCAGGAAATGTGTGCCAATAAAATACTTTGGTGCACATATTGTATACTAGTATATATATGAGCCTGATAGGAACCATACTCCAATATAAGGCCAGGGCCCAAAGAAACAAAATTTAATAACTTATTATAGCATTGTCTGTAAAGCAGGACACCCAATTATAAAATCCGTAAGTTTCTCACTGCATATAAAACTATTATACACTCAAACTCCACTCACAAACACACACTTGCAAACTCACACACCTCCTTACTTCTAGTAAAAACTGCAAAACAGGGGGATATGAAGAAGAAGTGAAGGGGAATAACACCAGGAAGGTGGAAGTTAAGTGGACAGAGTAGGGAAGAAGAGAAGACAAAGTTTTAAAAACAAATATATTGGGCAAAAAAAAACCTTTTTCCAAGGTCGGACTAATCTTCCGACTAATTTTCAAGGCATATATATTTTTCGAAAGAAACATCTAGCTATTTGTACGTCCTGCCAATTCCTTTGTTTTCAATAGATCATCAGTTCTACTCAGTTACAGTTGATTAATGTGGTGGGGTGGGTGTCTTATTAGGTAAATATGGCAATATATGGACAACGTAACCAAAGGTGTGCAAAAGCTTCTCAGAGCAAAAAATTCTGTTGCCGACACACCTTGTTTTGACTTCATCAGAAGTGATCCCAACTCAAAATAGATAATTCTGAATGAAAAGTAGAGGTAGGCTACCGTAAATCCATGTCATGTCCAAATCACTTACTATATGCTGAAGTTGAATATAATGTTTCAGGTTGAAACATTTTGCACAACACTATCCATGACAGATAACCACTGATTCTAACTCAGAATCAACTGAAAATTGGTCATAGTAAAGTGAGATAATGTGCTTATCTTATGTAAATAAAATAAATTTGAAGTATAAATTTTATAATTTTATATGGAAAAATACCACAAAATGAATGTTTAAGTGGAGATGGGACTTGACAAGAGCAGATTCCATAACTCACCATGAAGTGGATGAGAAATAATTCGGGATACACATTGCATCGTCATCTCATGGCAAGTCTGATAAAATATCAAAATAGAGCACTTTTTTATCTTAAGCAAATCATCTCACAAAAAGTACACCCTAATGGGAAACTTCTTGTTTTAAGTATCTTAATTTCCTTATTTGAAAAAAGTATTTGTTGGATTACACGGAATATAGTAATATAGTTTCTATGCTACTCTAAGTCATTCTCTATGATTTACACTGTTGCTCTAAAGGACTGTCATACACTGTATATTATTCAGATACAGGTAGTCCTTGAGTTACGATGGTAACCAGGACCAGAATTTACATTGCATCAGAAAGCTTGATGTCACATGATGCTTAGTGCCATTGCTTTGTAAACACAATCCCAGCACTTCCTTTTGCTGTCATTAACCAAATTCCACCAATCGTTAGTGGAGGACCCATTTCAATCCAAGCCATTCCTAGCTTGGTCCCTCCCAGCCCTGAGCCTCTGTTCTTCCAAGATAAGGGACTGCATACCTTTCAACTCCCTTCAACTGTCCATTATGTCCCTTTGGCCACCCTGCACCCTGTCTCCTGGGATGGCAAATAGTCCTAGAACTGCACAGCTCAGGAGCTTCTTGGCACACCATGGCTCTAGGGCTGCAAGAAGCCTCTGAACTGCAATGCGGTGCAAAGCTGCAGCTGCCCCAGCTTGGCCCAGCAATACAGTGCAAAGCTATAGCTGCCCAGGAAGCCCCAGCTGCCCCAGCAGTGCAATGCAAAACCCCAGTGGCCCCAAAAAATCCCAGCCGAGTCCCAGCTGGCCTTGACTTCCTGCACTCTGAGGTCTCTGCTGCTCTGCACTCCCCCACCAGGTGTCTGCCATTGCCAATCCAGTATGCCTGGCCTGGCTCTTTGTGAGGCAGGTAATGGCCACGTGAGCCCTTTTTATCCAGGTTTCATACAAGGAAATGGCTGCACATGACCTTGGGAAGAAAGCCTTATGCAGCCAGAAGCTGCCTCACAAAGGGCCAGGCTGGGAGTGCTTGGGTTAGCAGTAGGAGTAGCAAGACAGAGGTCATCTGGGCAGTGGAGCACAGGATGGCTGGGGCTGCTGAGTATAGGGGCCAAAAGGGCACACATGGGGGAGGGAAAACAAGTGGGTGCGGGAAATGATAGCATCCCTGTAGTGGTGAGTGAGAATGTGCTGCCAAGTGCCTGAATTTTGATCACACGCTAGGAGTAGCATTGCAATGGCGGTAATCTTGGGGACTGAGCATAAGTACTATTTATTCAGCCCCGTAATTTTGAATGGTCATTAAATGAATGATCATAACTTCAGGACTACCTGTAAAAAGAGGCTGAAAAGATGACAAAGAGAACCCCAAAATACCCATGCAACAAACACACAATGGGGTAAGTTGAAAGAGGAAAAAAGAAATCAAGCTATGTAAGTTTGAGAAATACTTCAGTTTTACTCTGTGTATTACAGAGTATTACAGTGTTAGTTCATTTTTAAACCTCCTGAATGCTAAAAGATTGGCCTCACTTTTAGTAGTCTCAAGATTATATCTATTAAAAATAATTAGAGGAAAACATGTTAACATTTTAGTTTTTAGTATTAGAATAGATTAGTAGGAGAAATCTTAGCATCCTTAAGTTTACACTATTTATGTAATCTTTCCCACCTCACAAGGCTCTGAGGCATTTTTTTCAAATTGGGGTTAATCACACTGGAAAAGAGAAGATTTGGGGATTCAACATTCATATCGATCTTAATTATTCTTTGAAATATATAATCTTTTCAAATACAAAATATTTAAGCAATGAAAATTTGCTTTAAAGTTCCACCTCTTTTGTCACTTTCCTGAGAGATGTCTTCATATCATCCTTATTGGAAACATGCTCCATATCTTCTACAGGGAAGGCCTGAGGTGTAAGAGAGAAAGTAAATTAATACTCATAGAGACCTGATTATGATAAACAAACAGTATTTGACATATTTTCTAACAGTGATACCCCCATGATTTGGATAGAGGAGAGGTTATCGCATCTGTACTTATCCTCCAAGGAATTGGAGCATGCATGGGGTGATTATTTTACTATACCTTCATTGTATTTTGTTGTAACCAGTACCTGGACTAATGCGATAATCGAATATACAGAAAGCCCTCGACTTATGACCTCAATTGGGACTGGAATCTCAGACATTGAGTGAGGCAGTTTTTAAGCGAGGTGCCTATATGACCACTTTATTTAATGATCACAATCCTGGCTCTCCCAGATGCATTTTTAAGCAATCACACTGGTTGTTAAGCAGACAGATTGAAAGAGTTGCCTGCCAAAAGAGAATCTTCAGGATTCAAGCTTTGTTTCTGGAGCCCATTGCAGTATTTCCCCTCCCCTCCATGTAAGGAAGGGAACTAGTGTGTGGGTTGCAGAAAAAAAAAACCTTAGATTCCAAAAATCTAAAGTTCATTTCTTCAGCCCACCATAGGATTTCTTCTCCCCTCCAAGCACTCTTTCTGAGGCCACTGTAGTTTCAAACTTCTGTTAAATGACCAGTTGTAAGTCAAAGACTAGGAGTATGGAGTGAAGACTAACCCAGAGAATCATTTAACTTTGCTTTCCCTTCCACACACCCACACACCTCAACTTTTCTTTTTTTGAGTCATAGCACTGCTGCATTAACATAGTAATGGAAACACAGATTTCTGCCTATTCTGAAAATGTTCAGCTCTAAAGCATGCTGGTTTCTCTTGTTCATGGTAACAGCATGGTTACACAAGCCTACACTTTGGTTGAAGAAAGATGAAAGAAATTCTCTTCCAAGCAATGGACACAATGGAGGGAAATTATAATCTGCATAGTTGAATGAGACAGTGCTGAGGTTTTGGAGCTTTACAAGCAGGCATGGATGGTGGCCAACTTGTCTTGGCAAGAGACAGACCAACCCATCTCCCATTCTTAATGAGGATGTGTCATTAAAGATTAGGAAAGTGAAATTAGCAATCCCACTGTCAAAGACAGGCCAAGGATATACAAACTAACAGGCCTTCACAGGAAATAAAAGGTTACTAAGAAAGGATGAGCACTTTATTATTCTTGCAAGGTTGAATACTTTCAGATAGTCCTAAAGCAACTTGATGGTGCCTTAATAAGAAATATGGTCCAGGAAGGCCATCACTATGCAACTGTGACATAAAATTCTGTACAACTCAGGAAATAGTTCACACTATTTTTTAAAAAAATCCAATATATTTTGAGGGGTTCCTCTATGAGGTCAGTTACTGTCACTGCTTTTCAAGTTCAACACCTCAGGTTCTAACAAATATTTCACTATTACTGGTTGGAAGAAATAGCTTTATTGTACAACAAGAAGGGCTGTTGCCATTGTTGCCACCGCTGCTGCTGTTTTTGAATTTGAATCCCTTCCAAAGTCCAACTAGGCCAATGCAGAAGCTGAGACTTCGCAGCTGAGCTGTGAGAAAGTGTTGGCCTGGACATTTATTACAATTTGGCCTCACAAGTAACCTTTTCAGCACAAAGAGATTAGAGAACAAATATGTGACATACTGTACCTTCTTCACTTGTTCTCGGTTTATGGTAGATAAAACACTAGAGATGATACGAGGAGAAAGACCACGGAAAAGACCCATTTTCCCATCCACTTCCACAATGTGCCTGGCTAGAAATAAATTACATTGAAGTTACTTCATCATGATTCTGCAAAATCCCTAACATTCAGTTGACTGGATACCTATATATAATAACTCACGTTAGGATTTAAACTATCCACTGACACTAAGATGGTAAAAATTGTGAGAAAACCTTGTATTTTCAACTATTCTTTCAACTGTGATCTTAAGAATTACATTGGATTTTATAGTGCTAGGATAGAGTATGAAGATTCCTTTAACTCGTGCTTAGCTATGTTGCCTCCTTCCACCCAAAAGGCTTTAGATTATTATCTGCAAAATTTTTGAAAGGAATTTTATAGAGTTTAAGGTACTATAAACTTCAGATAGCTGGAGAGAAAAGAAAAATGCCCTAATATGTTATAATACTGCAATTGCAGTATTATAACATATACTGCTTGCAGTATATGCTTGCAAATATACTGACTCTAAATTTAGCTAACAAAAGTAAATTTTGTTCCCTAAATATGCCTTTTGTGTTTATAGGAGAAACTGTTTCATTAAAACAAGTCTACAAAATGATTATAAAATAGTATTAAGAGTTCAATCATGTAGTCAGCAAGCAAAAAAAACCCTGTATTACCAAAGAATCCTAATTATGAGCTACATAACTATATAAAGTTTTATACTGTATATCAACAGCAAATACTAATAAATGCAAATTATTAGGTTTTTTTAAAAATGTGTTTTTTTCTGTTATTGTACTTGTCACATACGTGCCCTCCATTTTTAAATGAGATCCCATCTCTTCCAAAATAGATTGCTAATCAATATCAATCAGCAAATGCCGATTAATATGATAAAAAGAAGTTAGCCGAATCCTCAATTGCTGTAATTATTATTGAAACAAAATCTTTTTATAGAAAAGGACTTTTAATGAAGGGATTTTTTAATCTTTTATGATTAAAAGATGCTCATATATTTAAATTTGTTTGCCTACTCAAAAAGAAAAAAAGCTAAATAGAAATATAAAGTTTTTAATGGCTTATTCATCACTAGATTTTTTTTACATATTAAGGATCAAATTGTGAGTTTTGCTCTAAGCACAAAGTCTTCTAAATCAAGAAGAACCAAATATTTTATATTATATTGCTTTTGCATGTCAAATAACTCTTAGCATTATAAACAAAACATTTCCCTAAGTATGTTATACATCTAAACAATAATAACAAAATCTGATTTCTACTTAGAAGCAAGTCTGATTTCATTCAGTGGATACGTAGAATTGCAGAAAAGTATACTCAGCAATTATATTAAAAGGAAGACATCTGAATTAGCAATGTATTAATATTTTGTATTCATTATCTGAGTTGGTTACATTATTCTCATTAGATCTATAGGCAAATTTAATCAGGACATGCTCACCATATGTAAAAAATCCAGGAAGGTAAAATACTTTCCTCCCCAGTAAATTTCTCCCAACAGTTGGAGGTAGAGGCTCATGCCCAACCTAAAAAAAGAGGAATTGGAAAAAGTAACACCAGTTTCTTACAAATATCTCCACCCTAGTGAACTTTATCCATAGCTTTATAGCTCAGATAGGGGCCACTCCTTGTTGCTCTCAACCCCTACTCTATTCACTTCTTTCTTTTTTTATTTCAATCACTGTTGACTCCTAGTGACTGCGTGGACTAATCCCTGTAGTTTTCTTGCAAGATTTTCAGAAGTGGTTTACCATGGCCATCTTCCCAGGGATGAGAGAGTGACTGACTGACCCAAAGTCATCCAATTAGATTCATGTCTAAGGCAGGGATAGAACTCATGCTCTACAAGTTTCTAGCCTGGTGTGCATGCATATATGCACACACACGGGCACATACACACTTTATTTATAGGCACAAAGCACTGGTACTTCTTTAGTAGGTTTTTGTTTTGTTTTGTTTTGCTAAGTGAAGTCTAAACACTTTGGCAAAAAATACCAGACACATTCTAGTTCTCTCCTTTCCATTGAATTAATTTTTTTCTGAACCAAAACACATTATTAAATATGCTTATGAAGAGTCACCAGTAGAAAAGAACCTTCTCTACCGTTCCATAGGCAGGGGTGCTTATTGCTATTATCTCCTTGTTATTTTATTTATTTATTTAATATAATTTGTATGCTGTCCTATCTCTGTAGGACTCAGGGCGACTCACAACAAATAAAAACAAACCCAATAAAACATAAAATACATAAATATGCATACATAAAATACATAAATGTATAAATATATAATTTAAACATATATTAAAACCCATTAAAATAATCAAAAAACCCCTCAGTCCAGGCTGGGCGATGTGAACAGCCATGTTTTTAATTCGCAGCGGAAGGTACGAAGGTCAGGAGCTTGTTATTTGAAGCACTTAATCAAAAGCAAAGAGCCTTGGTAGTACAGTGGTCTAAGGCATCCTGTTATTAAGCTGGTTATTAAGACCAGCTGCCTGCAATTACTGCAGGTTCGAATCTCGCCAAGGCTCAAGGTTGACTCAGCCTTCCATCCTTTCTAAGGTAGGTAAATTGAGGACCCAGTTGTGGGGGCAATAAGCTGACTTTGTATAAATATACAAAAGGATGAAGGCTATTGCTGAGCACATTGTAAGCCGCCCTGAGTCTTCGGAGAAGGGCGGCATATAAATCAAATTTAAAAAAAAAAAAAAAAAAGGATCACACCACTGCTTGGAAGGAAAGCCAGCAGTAAATCTTAGGGGCTCTTAGAGGTGGCAATAAAACATCAGAAGAAAGCCATGGTGAAACGACTTCACATCCTTAACCCACCCACACCAAATTACAGTAACAGATCTGTTAGGATCTATTAACCCTCCCCAGAAGTCCACCCATCTTAAAGCTGCCAAGTTGTTTTTTTAAAGCCTTTTTAGAAGCAGTCTAAAGGAGCCAAATTCCTTTATGATGTCTGTGCAAGCACCAAAGAGGAGCTGTAGGGAAACCGGCACCTCTTTCGCGAAGAAAGCCCTTCATCAGACCCTAGGAGCAAAAAGCGAAGCCCCCACCGAGAACTGCCTTCGTGGGGCGTCCCGCACTTCCACGGTCGCCTCTCACCTATTAAAGCTGCTAGTCCACAGGTCCCCAAACACAAGACATCTCCGAAACCTGCATTGGAGGTTTGGTCCCCAAGCCTCACCTGCACCAGAAGCTTCACGTAGAGCAGCGGGTGGCTGAGGACCGTGAAACCAGCGCTCAGGGCCACGAAAAGAGCGTCGGCGCCTTCTGCCGGACCGGGTCCCATTCTCGGTCCGGCGGGAGTAATCCCAGGACTCACAGGGATGTCAGCCATTCCCCCCCGCCCCGCCCGCATCCAACCAGGAAGAGCTCTTCCGCGGTCACATGACCAGACGCTTCTGCGTCATCACAGCCTTCGAAGCCAAACGCCCAATCGCAAGGAGCAGCTGGCTTGGCCAGCCTCCCACATAGAGATAAAACGCATCTAGAAAGGGGAAGGGCAAAATCGGAACACGAAACGAGGGTACGACTATCGCGTTTCCCTCCTGTTGCAGAGAGAGAAGGGAAAGATTGTGCTTCTGGTCTCGCAGGAGCGAGGCCGACTACGGGATCTTTCTGCTATATTGATTCAATTGAAAAGGAAAAGTAATCTGATTCTTCTCTTATCCTTCCCCACAGACCCCGCCCCTGGGCGGATGGCGAACTCTCCATAGCAAAAAGAAAAAGGGGAAAAAAATTCCCTGCAGTGTCTGTATTTTCGCGCGCCTGTCCTCAGAGGGCAGCATCAAAGAAAGGAATTGGTATCTTCTTATATATTTGATTTGCATTTGGCCTTAGTGTTTCGGCGAGCATTTATTTTATTTTATTTTTGCAAGAAAGTGATTTTTTCCCCCCATGCAGACCTCCTTTGCAGACCGAAGCCACATAGCAACGTCGAATGATTGGCGTGGCGCTCCAGATCCCCCGTGCTAAATTCCCCTTCGGTTGTCCCAAAGGTGCTTTTCTTCTATTCAGGAGGCAACTGGACTCTTGTTTTTTTTTTTTCTTTGAAGACGTTTCGCTTCTCATCCAAGAAGCTTCCTCGGCTCTGATTGGATGGTGGAGAATGGAAGGATTTATATTCCTTGCATTCTTTTTAGAAGATCGTTGAGACTACTTCTTGGATGAGAAGTGAAACGTCTTCAAAATAAAAAAAACACACACAAAAACCCCAAACAGTCCAGTTGCCTCCTCATAAAGCACCTTTGGAACAACCATGATCTGGGATGACTGAGAATCTCCATTGACTTTGCCCTTCGGTTGTGACAAAATCCAATCTCGCAACTTGACCTCGGTCCCTCGTTTCGCACAAACCGGGGACACTGGCTGATCTCGGTCAAGGACTGGCTGGAGGGGGAGCCCGCTTCCACTGGAGTGGAGACATAAAACTCACACGTCCGTTATAAAGAAGAAGCCGAGGGAGAAACTATACTGCTCAAAAAAAATAAAGGGAACACAAGCAGAAGACATCCGAGATCTGAATGAATGAAATAGCCTTATTAAATACTTTGTTCTATACACTGCTCAAACAACTAAAGGGAACACAAAACTACTGTATGTAACAAACAAAGTATTTAATAAGGCTATTTCATTCATTCAGATCTCGGATGTCTTCTGCTTGTGTTCCCTTTATTTTTTGAGCAGCGTATTTCTTGCCTGGATAATGGTTCGAAGCGATCAGCCGGCGTTTGAATGCGTTTTACCTTGTTGTGTTCATTGGCTCTGAACACTTGAACCGAAGTTCTTCGCTGCGACGCTCGGAAGAGCTCCTGTTGCCCCGCCTGAAAAATCTCTGAAACTTTAGCCGCCTGGTGGTCTTTCGAATAACTCAGCTAAATATGAACTGAGGGATCCTTGGTGTTCTCTGAGTTTGCTTGTTTTCTTGCAAAAGTTTCATTACCCTAAGACAGATACCAAGTTCATTACTTCACCCTTCAGACTCTTCAGACTCAATGCAGCCAATCCAGATGGGTATAATTATATTGTCGATGGTATCAAAAATTGCGAAGAGGTCAAGAAGAGCCAGCAAGGATATATTACCCCCACTATGCTTCTACCAGAGATCATCCAAAAGCATGTCCAATACCATTTCTGTCCCATGCCCAGGTCTGAATTCTGACTAAGAGAATCATACCATCTGCTGCTTCTTCCAGGGTCCACTGAAGCCACCTCATGGCCACCTTTTTCACAACCTTCTCTAAAAAAGAAGAATGGATACTGGATGAAAATTGTCCACTATGGTGTGATCTACCAATTGCTTCTTGAGGAGGGAGCAAACAAATGTCATTACTTATTATTATGGGAGATGTTATTATTACATTGTTACTATGCTGCTAATCATAGCCCTCTCATGATTTCAGCACACAGATGATGAATAACTCTCATACAAACACTGTTATGCTGTCATCTTGCCCCTTTTGTGGTGAAATGTAACATTTCTTCTATAATATATCTGGTGTCATTACTCTCTCTTGAAAGCATGTCATTAACAGCTCACAGCTTACACAGTAACAATGTATCCCTGTCCTAACAATATTTCAAACAAGAATCTTAAATCTGGAACTAATGGGAAGATGTCAAAAAACATCACGGTCTCTATATTGTTAAATATAATCACTTTTCACAGATGTCCTTTCACGGATCAGTCTGGGGTGTCTAGATCAAAGACTGACATTTTGACATACCGTCTTAATACTTTAAAACATTAATTCTTACATTTTTTTTGCTCTGCAGACTCCTTCCCACTTTTAAAAATTATTGAAGATCCTAAAAGAGCTTTTGTCTGTATATTAAAAATGTATTAAAAAGTAAAACTGATGCATTCGTAGAATATTTATTGAATTATGTAAAAGTAGCACTATTAAACCCACTAGCTATTTATAGCTCAGGGTTGAAATGAGGGGTCCTTGGTGCAGCCCAGAGTTTGAAAGATTTAAATTTTCATGTATCAAATCAAGATAGAGACAATGGTAAGTGAACAGAAAAGTTAAATACATTATAATTAATACAAATATATATTTTGTGAAGCTCTGCATTTTGATCCTTTCACTTACAGTTTTGCCCTCAGTACTTCCTCAAAAGCTTCCTGTTTATAGGATGTAATTTACAAGAAGCTTTTCTTGTCTCCCAGAGAAAGAGACAATTTGTAGATTGTTCACTTGGTCCTATCAGTTTTTTTAATGCAGCTATTTCTCAGAAAAGTTCCAAGAGACCATAAAGAAGAATAAGGATGATGGAGGAGAAACAGAAGCTTCCAGAAACCTCAGTGGTCAATCTGGTGCATATATTTGAAAACTTCAGGTACAAGGGATTTTGGGAGCTGTTGTAATATCATGGTTGAAGGCCAGATGAACAAGAAAGCTCAAATAGTGGAAGATTGAAATATAGAATTCATTATATTACTGCTTAGGAGAAAATGCTTTGAAGTCAGAGAATTGTGGCTACACAAAGGTAGTTTTCCTCTTTGGAAAAGTGATAAGGACTATTTTTTCCTTGGTGCGTTAAACCTTGGAGTATAGACCTGCATAGAAGTTATTTAATTACTTGGGTATTTGACTATAATAAAGGTTTGATGTGAATGTTATTTAAATTAGGTTAGAGTCAAGAAGTTTGCTTCCCTGCTATGAAATGGTATATTCAATGTATTTAATTTTTTAAGGTGTGGTTTCCAAATCTGTCCTAAATGTTCTGCTGCCTTATAATAGAACATGCTATTTGGAAACTCTGTTTCTCATACTTGATGCTGAGATACTATTATTTTTCGGCTAACTAGAATTTGCCATGGAATTAGCTGGATTTAGTCCTTTTATTCAGATATATTGCCCAGATTCTTTAAATATTCAGAAGAAAGAGAAAAGAGGTTCAGGAACAACAACTGTAATGCTGTGCAGGAAGAATGGGATAGCAAACTTAATTCCTTTGCTACCATCTACTGGTTGCCTGGAGTTTTGTAGATTAGATCTGGTATCCAGGTCAAATAGATTTTTGAAATTTTATTATATTATTTAGGAGTTCCCATTTTTATGAATCTGGTTTGGCTAATCTGCAACCCTCTGAGTACAGTTCTCTTGTTGATTGTGAACTGTGGTTTGCTCTTTAAAATGAAACTTTGGTAAAAGGAAATAATTATTGACTTCGGGAAGAGTTGAGGAAGCTTAAGTACGTTATGAAGATTGTGAAACAGAAAAGAGGATGTAGTCCTTGGGAGTACCACTCAGTTTGGAAAAAGAAATGCAGCTTTATTTTTGCATAGGCTGATCTTATCTATAAGAGACAGAAACAGAAAATCTGATGACTACATAGAAAGGAAGAAAGAGAGCAGAGTGCACTTCTGAGGATCCTCCACTCCATATCTATTTTTTCATATTGTAAGGTAGCATTGAGAATTGGTTAGATTCATTTTTATGATATTTAGCTACATTCCTTCATTTATTCAGAAGTAAGTCACAGTAAATGGCATCAAGTAGAATGTAGTTCTAAACTGGAAAATGCCTCACTAAACTTGATGAGACTTAGTTTAGTGTAGAGAGTATAGTACTTTATACTAAGGTAAAGATTTTTGGAATTAAAAATCAATATTATTAACTGCAACAATGACATAATTTCAAATACAGCTATTTATGAAATTACAAATAGAAAAAGTGATATTAAATGTTCTATATGTTACCTTCATTTAAATGATATCACATGCATTGTACCTGCTACAATGCATGTGGACAATATTACAATTGTTTATATTTTACTTTTCAGCATAGAATCCTATCGGAGCGTATCAGTAATAATGACAAATTTCCATATTATGCCCTGCATATTTTGCCTTAGAGATCCATCTGTAATCTATCTCAGGGCATAGCAATTTTTTCAGGTGTTGGGTATTATTGTAATTAATGGTTTGCTGGGTGACTTTGGGTCAGTCACCCTCTCCCAGCCCATCCTTCACAAAATTGTGGGGGGCGGGGAAGTAAGTAAGTGGTGCTATATATTAAATTTTGAATTCCTGAACCAAAATCTAGAGATAATCAGATTTACTGTAAACATGTTTACATATTTCTCCTCTCATTATGGCTCCCATGTTATAATGTGTTAGGCAAGATTATGGAAGAGATTGAGAAAGATCAATTTATTTATAATGTTCTACAGCAGGGGTGTCAAACTCAATTTCATTGAGGGCCGCATCAGGATTGTGATGAGGTCAGTGTTTAACATCTGGGGGCCAGGGGTGTATGTGACCGGGGGGGGCATGGCCAGCTCGATGTCACTCATATTGGGGCCCTGTGGTGGCCCGAGTGCTCTGCCAGTGAAAAGGAGCGGCCCTCCCAAACTGTTTTCACTGGCAGAGGGTTACAGGAGACTGTCACAGTTGAAAATGAAGCTCCCAAGCTCCGTTTTCACTGGCAGAGGCACCGCGGCCCGGTCCTTCGCTATTCCCAAGGTGGTCCCACAGGCCAGATCTAAGCACCCCATGGGCCGGATCCAGCCCGTGGGCCTTGAGTTTGACACCCCTGTTCTACAGTTTCTCCAAACTTCATTTTGTATGATTAAAGAAACAACAGGCATTTATGGCTTTTCTGTGTCAATTGGAGATTAGAGTTGTTTTTTTGAATTCTAGAACCAAAAACAAGCTTGGATCTTGGATCACTGAAGAGGATTGGATTACTTCTGCAGCCAAAGATCTAATCCACAAATAGACCAGAAACTCTTTGCAAAGTTGCATTATCAAGGATTATCAACAAAGAAGAAATAATAGCTTTCTCTGCTTTGTTCTCTTTTGATATCCAATAGTCAGTGGGTGAAATTTTCCTATTTTAGAGACAGCATGATGTCATTCCTGCATATCATACTATTGACAAATCATAACTCTAATTGCATGTTCAAAATTAGTAACCTATCTATGCTGTTTATTGAGTAGTGGGCTTCAGTAGGCAAGAAGCAGACCAGCATAGCTACAACAACAACATTTATTGATTCAAAACTGGAACTGAGGAACAAGCAAATTCCTGTAATTTATACTCTAGGCCCACAGGGCCTTAACCAATCATAATCCTTGAAAAAGCCCGCCCAAATATGAATGTTCTAAGTTTCCCTCCAAAACAGTTGGAGTTAACAGTTAGGGTCATCTAAAAGTTAGTTTCACTTTAGCAGGGATAACACAATTATATATATTCAATACATAACACTGTTGGCCTCTTGTTTGTTTTCAGTGATGAAATTTAAATTATATTTAATTCTGCCTTTAAATGAGTACTATTACATTGAATATGCATATTGACTTGTATAAAGGCATACATGTTTTGTTTTTGGTTTGGTCCTCCCTTTTTATTTTGAAGAAGTAAATGGAACAGAAATTTTTAAAACCTTTGTTTTTCTGTGGACAGGCCCTGCTGCAGTTCTGAGAAAGAAGAGCTCCTTCCTCAGTTGAGGTTTCAACTAACAACTCCAAATCCTATGGCATCTTCCATGCTGCCACCTGTGACATGTGAAAAAGCCATGAGAGACATTAAGAAAGCTGCAGTTATAGAGCCTGGCCAGGTGCACTGCAGTACAGAGTCTCTAGAGCAGCAACAGCAAGCTCCTAAAATGCTTCCTGTCAAATGTCTCAACTCTTTTCGAGGCAAGATCACCGTCAGCAACTGGAGGGCAAAACAAGCCTCAGATTCTCAGCCATACTTCACCATGCAATCTGGAAGCAGCAAGAATCAGGTAATAGGTTATACCAAGACACTGGTGATATTGTGTACAGATTCTCCTGTTGTGATTTGCAAACCAGGGATAATCCATAAATATTCTTTGGATGGTGTGTAGAAAGGCTGTGGTACAATCAAGCATATTTTGACATTAGACACTTTGATAGTTTTGACCAAAATCAAATTATTGAGCTGCTTCATATTTGCATTGTTAATAATAATTAAGAGAAAATGATATCCCACTATAAATGATGTAGGTGACCTGATTTTATAACCATTTATAAAAGGTTCATTGAAATTCATGAGAAATTTCAGATATTTTGTAAAGGAAAACAGTTACGATTACTACTGAATTACTATGTTGGCGATACAGTCTCAAAAGTTGCAAAAGCTACATATCATCGCTAATGATATTTCATTTTATCAAAATACTTTAAATGATTATGAATCATAGGTTTCCAAACCTATTTCTCCTTACTCTGTATTCACAGGAACCAGAGGAGAAAAAAATAGCTTTGGAGCTGCTGGAAACAGAACAGGCCTATGTGGTCCGCCTTCATCTTCTAGACCAGGTTGGTTGGCAGCTGCATTTCAGCTTTCTGATGTCCGCTATCAAAAAGCTGAAAATAAACTACTTCCATGATTATTATTTTACTTAATAACAATGCATGAAGATATAATAAAAATTGCCTTCTGGCTATTTTCATCCTGTACAACTTATTTTTTAAAATTCAATAAATCTCGGATTTCTGTAGCAAGCAAGCAATTTTTAATACTTTGAAAATCCCAAAATTTTCACATAGTAAAAACAGAGCCCTTTCTGATATTCCACTGTCAAAATAACTCCTAACTATTCTCCTAATGGGACTACATTGATTTGGAAAATTATATGAAAAATAAAAATCCTATCTGTCCTTTAGTCAGTTCTGTCCCTGTATCTTATAATACTTATCTGGTTGTAGCTGAATGAGGGATGGAAGCAGGATCATTTCTTCTGGTCTGCTAAGGATTTTTATTTATATGATATCTTTTATTTTGTTTCTATTCCACATGACCTTTAATTACTATTATAGTAATTATAACCACTATAATTCTATATGATAATTATAACAATTGGTACTTTAATTGCCATAAATTTAGAAAATACTAATCCAAATTTCCTGATTTTTCTTCTCCCGGGTTCTCTCTCTCTCTCTCTCTCTCTCTCTCTCTCTCTCTCTCTCCCCCCACCCCCACCCTTTATGTTGTGCTTTTAACTTCCAGGTCTGCAGGGAGATGTTATTGATCTTACAGAAGTTTCTGCAGGAGACTTTTGGGTTGAAAAGTAGGACGAAGTATTGTAATTAAAACCGTGTTTCTTCATTGACTAGAATGTTCTTTACAGGTGTTTTTCTCAGAGTTAATGAAAGAAGCCAGAACTACAAAGGCATTTCCGGAAGATGTAGTCAAAATGATATTCTCTAATATCTCCTCCATTTACCAGTTCCATTCCCAGTTTTTCTTGCCAGAGCTGAAAAAACGAATGGAGGACTGGTAAGTTATGAAATCAGCCTGCTTGTCTTTTTTTGCCTACTACTTTCCTGGAAAAATATAACAAATTTAATAGCTTATTGAAAGCTAGATTCAAGTAGTTTAAGCTTGAGTCACTGAGAGTCTTATCTGAACACTTTGTCCAATCTTGGAAAAACATCTTATGTATGGAGAAGATTGTGTTATGGTACACGGAACCTAATGCAACCTTCTAACTGAGTTCATTTTTATATGTATATATAATTTTATAAAGATTTCAGTTATAAGAGTAAAACCTAATACAAACTAAACTTAAAGAAAAAAGAACAGGAAAAGAGAGTAAAAAGTGCAAGAAAACAGAAAGAGTAGAAATAGAAAAGAATATAATAAAGAGAAGACCAATATATTAAAAAGTGGCTTCCAACCATCATCACTCTCCCTTATTACTCTGCAATCTCTGAATTTGAGGTTGAGTTGAGGCAATTGGATGGAGCTGAGCATTTACTGGCTGGATACATTTCTTGATGCCACATGAAGTTTGCCGCAGATATTTTTTTCTTTGCGCCAGTGGTGGGGTGCTCCCGGTTCGGCCTGGTTCTACCGAATAGGTAGTAACTTTAGGAAGTAGTGCTCCGAACCAGTAGTAATGGCAGCCAGGCCACACCCCCGAACCGGTTCCCCAGTCGCTGCTTGCTCGCCCACCCGAAGCTGATCAGAGCAAAGAAGGCTCTCAGCTGCCTGGCCGCAGGGTGCTGAAAAATCCTTCAGCTGGTGAGAAGAAAGCTGCGCATACGCAAAGATGGCGGCAGCGACCGGAGGTCTTTCCGGCGCTGTGCGCCAATGGCTGGGTGGAAAAGAAGCCTCTCAGCTTCCAAATTCAGCAGCAGGCTCAATCCCTTCATACAGGGTTGCCTTTCTCCGTGCCCGAGAAAGATCAAAAGGCGCGGAGCAGCCTTTAATGACAAAGTCGCCTGGACAAGGTAAAAGAAAACAAACCATTGAGGGAAGGAGCCCACCGAGGCTGCCGGTGTTGCAGCCTCCCCCCCTCCCCGCAACTTGGAGCTCCAAACGGAAGAAGTCCTCAGCTGTTGCGAAGAAGCAGTAGCTCTGGGTGCGCCACACCCACTTCTTTCTCTTTGAGAGCCGCTTTGCAAACAAGGTGCAAAGCGGCTCTCAAAGAGAACGAAGCAGGCGTGGCACACCCAGAGCTGCCGCTTCTTCACAACAGCCAAGGATGGAAGAGTTCGCTCAGGAGTGATGCCAGCAAGGAAGGTGGCTGGGTCGGAGGGAGGCGTAGCCCGAGCTCTCTGGGATGGGTAAATGAGTGTGGGGAGGCGAAGGGGAGCGGACTTAGCCCTCCACGTGTTGCACCCCCCTCCCAACCTTTGCCCACGCCTCTGTGCCACCAGCATCTCCCAAAGCTGCCACCATTGGAGCCATGATAGGGACTGGGGCAGCCCAGTAGCAGCCACAAGCCGTGCTTTCCTCTAAGCTCTATGGGTGGCAGAGGGAGACTCTGTGAGACTTGGAGGAAAGTGCAGCTCATGGCTGCTAAAGCACCTCAATCAGCTACAGCCCAGATGAGCTGAGGAACTGCAGGGAGCCTCCTGTATGTTGCATCCCCCTCCCAGCCTTCGCCTGTGCCTCCGTGCTATCAGCATCTCCCGAAGCCGCTGCTGTTGGAGCTGTGACAGGGATGGGGGTAGCCCAGTAAGCTGATAACCCAAAATGGTGCGGAGGCACGGGGGGAAGGATAGGAGGGGGTGCAACACACGGGAGGCTCCCCGCAGTTCCTTAGCTCGTCTGGGCTGCAGCTGAGTCCGCTGCCTTGAGCTGGCGGAGTGGGTTGCTCTGGCTGCAACCACGAGGAAGGCCCATCAGAGGCGAGAAGGGGCACTTTTTGGCCAGGAAGGGCAACGTAGGGAAAGCCGAGACGACTACCACCATCCCACGTGTCCTGACCTGGATATGGGGCCGCAGTGTCAAAAACAAAGTTTCAAAAAGTCCCAAAAATTTTAGCCACCTTTTTGGTGGGCGTGGCTTGGGGGGGGTCATGTGACTGTGTGAGTGATGTCATGTTGGCCATGCCTAATCAGTCACGCCCCCCCCCGCCAGCAACATCCACCGAACCGGTAGTAAAAAAATTTAGAACCCACCACTGCTCTGCGTCCTAGGAGAGAAACATCTGTTGCTACCTAGGATTGAACTCTCAACCTTCCAACTGGGAGGTGAGCATCTTCACCACTAGGCTATCGTGCCACTCACACTTTCAATTTTCATCACAAGCACAAAATAATTTAGTGACTCTTTATCCCCTCAAAGGTTGCAAACAATTATGTCTCCATTCCATATTCTACTTTTTATGTAAAACAAATCCCTAAATCTTTTCAGTGCTGGTATCAGCAGAAAGTTCATAAAAGCATGTCAGAAATAACAACATATCTTGTTTTAACCTTGGTCAAATAAACCAATTTCATATTCCTTCCTTTTACTTTTATCGGTATTAATCTTCATTTCATTCAAATATTGTTGCAGCATTTGATTTTATCTTAATTTCTTCTATTCCATTGCACAGAATTTTTTAAGTCTTTAACAAGCCTCTTTTGTAAATCTTCTCTTGGCCTATCAACTGTAAATCCACTTTTGGTTTTATCTATCTTGTCAGATAAAATTTGTTCTATATACAATATGTGATGTTTTCAACAAAATCTTTTGGATATTGTCTATCCATTATTACATAATGTTGATATTGTGCCTTATTTTCTGATTCTATTCTTCAAAAAACTTCCTTAGTATTTTTATTCTTATAAATTTTTGAATCATTTTACAACTTTATAAATGTTCCCTTTGTCTAAAACCTTAATCCCCTCTAGGGTCAGTTTTTCAAATCAGGAAATTGCTTATCTTTGTTATGTCTTTTAAAAACAAAACAATCTGTTTCCCATCATAAAATATTTGTTGTTTATAATTAATAACAAAATCTTATTATAAAGGTTTCACTATTCTAATTTTACCTGGGTGTTTAGTCTTCTTATAACTTTGTAAAATCAAACTCTTATTTAGCTTTTTCCTGTTTATTTCAGATTTGTTAAATTCTTAAGCTTATGGTTAATGTTCTCTTTAATTCAGGATTAAAGGCAGTTCAAAACAATGATTCATTGTTGTTTTCATAGATGCTGTTCCAAAAGTCTCTAATAGCTTAGAAATAGTTAATGAGCAATTTCTGAAAATAATTAGAGCACGAGCTTTGCAAACTTAGTGTCCTTTAAAAGAGTCAACTGCCATTGTGAGCAAAATGGCTAATCCCATTGTTTCCTGGTGCTTAAACCCACAGAAAACCACTATTCTGAATTTTCTTCACAAGGAGCAGTGATCTGGAGCACATGTGGACCATCTCCTGTCCTCTTTTTATCTGAGAGGTTCCAAGGAACCAGTCTACTCACTGGTTCTTTGATCTTTGCTGTGATCATCAGCTTCACTTTTATAGAATAATCTTCAGTACACCATACCTCCCTGAATGGCTGGCTCGCTGATTTTGTGTTGTTTTCACAGTAGGCAGAGAAAAGGATATTTTGACAAACAGCATTTTTAGAACATTGATACTAATGTTGCTATATTAGTGATACTATTTTTCTTTATTTAATGATTTATTCCATCGGTTTGTATTCTTAAATTCTATAAAAAATAACACCCACAGCAACAATTCACTTCTTATGAACACTCCTATAATGTAATACAATTCATTGATTGATTATGTGCCATCAATTTGGCATTAATCCATCGTGACCATTCAGATTTTCTCTAGGGTAGAATGTAATAAGCAAGTATTTTTTTGTATTTACCCTGGCACTTTGTAGATTTAAATTGATTTATATTATATTCCTATCGGTCCCTATTTATTTTGATATGGCTCTCCCCTTAATAGCCTTTAAGGCATACATCTCTGTGAGCTTCTGTTCTTAACTGAGCAAGTTTATATCTGTTTTTACAGAAGTACCTGCTATCTTCAACACTTATTACAAGCTCTGAAAAGTGAAATACCATAGTGGGTAATATAAAAAGGTTTCAACAAAAGAGAAAAGCTGACACAGATCATTTATTACCTGTTTACCTATTTGGAATATATTTCAAACATATTCACCAACTGAATACAGATGGTGCAGCCATCTGCAACCTATTGTAATCATTTTTGAAAAGAAGTTAAAAGGAAATTAGTACTACTTTGCTGGGATGTATTTTTCAGAATCAAACAATTGCTTATTAAAAGATGAGTTATGTCCAGATAGGAGTCATAAGACCAGTGATAGATGCAGCTGGATATTTCTCCAGGATTCCTAGTCTATTTTAGCCTTTTTTTTTGTTGAAATATCAACAGTGTTCTCTTATAATTCTTGCTACAGGGATTCCAATCCCAGAATTGGGGATATCATCCAGAAAGTGGCTCCTTTCCTGAAGATGTACAGTGAATATGTGAAGAACTTTGACAAGGCGATGCATCTGATCACTGTGTGGTCGGAAAAAGCCTTGCCATTCCAGGAACTCATCTCAAACATTCAGGTGAAATGGTTTCAGAGCTCATTATATAATTTGTTTTTTGTTTTTTTTAAATTCAGGTTGGTTTTAATTTGATTACACTGTTTCCCCCTAAAATAAGACATCCCCTGATAATAAGCCCAATTGGGCTTTTGAGGGCACGGCAATAAGGCCAAGCCCTTATTTCAGGGTTCAAAAAAATATAAGACAGGGTCTTATTTTCGGGGAAACACGGGTAGCTATATATTTGTTTAGATATATAATCTAGTGTGCATACATCTTATCTGAAATTTCCGGATTTACTGCTTTGAATATTAAGAACTTATGATTGTTCTCAACCATTGCGTAGTAGAAGGCTTAAATGGGTAGACTTAGAATCCCATATAGTCCCTTTCCATGCTTTCCAATGCAGGATAGGAATATGTTAAAAAAGTACAAAAATGAAGAAAAATCTTTTTTTTTAAAAAAAAAATCCATGTCCAAGATCTAATAAGATAATTGGAAAGGAGTCTCCTCTCTATTTATTACCTTTCTGAAATTTATTTATTTATTTGATTTGATTTCTATACCACCCTATTCCCGAAGGACTCAGGGCGGTGCACAGCCAAACAATAAAATACATACATACAAAATTTAAAAGTGGAATTAAAATCAAATTAAATAGTTTTGGCCCAGACAAATTAACACCCCAATCAATTTAAAACCAATTTTAAAATTTGAATATATAAAATACTAAAAAATATTAAAAAATTAAAAATCTTTTATAAAAGAGGGATAAAATTAGGCCAGGCCCGCCTGGTGAAATAAAAAGGTCTTTAAGGCGCAGCGGAAGGTGTGCAGATCCGGGATCCTCCGTATCTCCGGGGGGAGCTCGTTCCAGATAGTAGGTGCCTCCATAAAGAAGGCTCTCCCCCTGGGGGTTGCCATTCGGCATTGTTTGGCTGACGGCACCCGGAGGAGCCCCTCTCTATGGGAGCGTACCGGCCATTGGGAGGCTATTGGTGGTAGTAAGTAGTCCCGCAAGTACCCAGGTCCTGAGCCATGGAGCGCTTTAAAGGTGGTAACCAAAACCTTGAAGCGCACCCAGAAGACCACCGGGAGCCAGTGCAGCTCACGCAGGAGGGGTGTTACATGGGAACATCATGTTGCTCCCATTACCACCCGCGCGGCCGCACTCTGCGCCAGTTGGAGCCTCCGGGTGCTCCTCAAGGGGAGCCCCATGTAGAGAGCGTTACAATAGTCCAGGCAGGAGGTGACGAGGGCATTATAGGGAGAAATATTAAATTTCTCTTCTTTTTTTGTCCATGGAATTAGACTTAAGAAAGGAACTTCTGTTAGCATGAAGAGTAGTTTACTACATTTATTCTCTGTGTGCATGCATGTTGTACAGGGTCAGGGTATAAAGAAAGTGTTAATCCTTTTCTACTCAATAGGATTCTTCCAGAAAGTCCCTTTTTATCAATTCAATTTCAAAACAGTTTACAATAATTCAAAATATTTTTTGTTGGCACCAATTCATTACATTTTTTTAAAAAAAAAACATAATTGTTGCATGTGTGGGAGAATTATTGTTTGCAGGGAGGAATGACTAAGCTTTCCTTCCACAATTGTGTGTCTTCCCTTTTTGGTTGTGTTCTTAAAAAAACCCAAACCCAGTCTCTGGGCTGAAAACATGCCTTAGTGGTGATGGTCTAGAAGAAGAGATGTTAATTTTTCTTTCCTAACTACAATCACCTTTGAAAATAGATGGGCTATACTATAGGAACTATATATAGGATCAGCTTTGAAAATAAGCCTCTTCATAGTCATGAAGAGTACCTTGAGGAGGTGGTGTCCACCTAGATTGGTACTGTTTGGTTGTTGATTTTCTGATTGGGAAATTTGAGGATGAAGTGAAGCTTATTTCAGGAGCTATTTTCCCATTCATCAAAGGGAGCAAGGCTTTAGGGTGAAAACAGAGCCTTAGCAGAAATCTGTAGTCAGGATGGGAAGGTTGTGTATGTATATATGTATGGATACTAATGAATCCTTCATTGTCCTGGTTTTACTTTCTTTTTCTCTAATTGTTATTGTTTTGCCCAGAAATGGGAAGTGTCTGCTAATTTAACCTTGCAGCATCACATGTTGGAACCAATACAGAGAATTCCCAGATATGAACTCCTCCTGAAGGATTATATTCAAAAACTACCTTTGGAATCACCAGACAAGGAAGATGCACAGAGTAAGAGTTTTACTTTGGTCCTTTCTTTTAGAATGGGAGCAACAACAACAAAAAAGAGAAAAGTGATCAATCTTGCCTTTGAAATGATGCCTCCTGGTCTCCTTACTGAATGATTTTAGATGTTCATGGTACTGGTGCTCTTTCTAATGTGCCATAGTTTGTACAAACCATTCCTCTGTTGCTCAGGGTCACAATTGCTAGTATAGTATTGGTCATGAACTAATTGTATAAAAGAGTTGTAAGAATACTATTATTTCTTGCAGAAGCTCTGGAGATGATTTTCACAGCAGCTAAACATTCTAATGCTGCCATTGCTGAAATGGTGAGTGTCCAGCTCAGGAGGGGTCAAACTGGCGGCCTGCAGGCCAGATGTGTCACATGCAGGCCACGCTCACCCCTGCTCCACGAAGGGGAAAATCATCACAAACCATCATGTGACGGGTGTTGTGGTCCACCAGCAGCCTGCAGAGCTGGTAGCGGAGTTAGACAGTGAGGAGGCTGGGGAGGAACATGGCCAGTCCTGGAGTCTGGGGAAGACTCAGATGAGGGCTCTGCATCGGAGGCAGAGATGGGGCCAGGGCCATCTGGGAATTATGCGCAGACTCCAGAGCCTCCAGAGTCGGACATCAGAGAGGCAGAGGAACAGGAGGAGCCTGTTCCTAGTGCGTGCAAGCGTAGAGCTGCCAGAAGGCAAGAACACTTAAAAGTAAGGGGACGACTTGGGAGTAAGGCCTGGAGATGATTGGCCCATTCCATAAGGCTTATAAGAGGAGCAAAGGCACATGGGGCCTTTGTAGGAAAGCAACATTGTTAATTCTGTTCCCAGTCGGCATCTCTGTTTGATTCTGGACTCTATGTGGCTTTGCCAAGTAGGTCTTTGGCAGCGTGTCAAAGGAGATAAAATTTGGTGATTATCCTGACTTCTCCCGAAGGAGTTTTTGCAACTAATTGGGACTCAGCTGTGAATGAACATAATTCACAGCTGTTGCAATAAAAGAGGTTTTTGGGACTACTCGTGTGTTTTAATGACTCAGGAAGCCGAGGTCACAACAACGGCAATGTGACGTGGCGAGTTTGACACCCATGGTGCATCTGATTAGTCATCTCATTCTCCTTCACTATAAGCAGATATTTCAATAGCCGAGTTACTGTTTCCCATTTTGTAAATCTTTATCCCATTATTTCTGCAGGAACGACTCCAAAACCTATGGGACGTATATCACAGGCTAGGCCTTGATGATGACATTGTTGATCCTTCTAATGAATTTATTAAAGAAGGACCCATTCAGAAAATCTCTTTCCGATTCAGCAATACCTCAGAGAGATACCTGTTCCTGGTGAGATATTTTTATTTTATTTATTTATTTATTAAATTTATTTGCCACCTATCTCGCCATAGGGCTATTCTAGGCGGCTAGTTTATTAGTTGTAAAGTGATGGAGCAGGACAATTGTATCAAGTTTCTGAAGGGGAAATCTCTGACTCCCAAATTATTTGGAATGGGAAATATTAAAAAAAGAATATGGAAAAAAGTGAAGGTATACAGGTATCCCTAGACTTATAAACATTCATTCAGTGACTTCAAAATTATAATGGTGCTGAATGAATGGACCTATATTCAAAGTTATAGCTGTTGCAGCACCCCTTCAGTCTCCTGATAAAAATTTGTGTGCTTGAATTTGCCCTTCCTTACAACTGGTTGCTCACAACCTGACTGGCTCTCCTTCCTGCCCCATCATGCCTTGCTCCACTTATATCTTCCAGAGATTGCCTTTCCAGAAAAGCATTTGGATGATGTGATGCATGGCCTCAATAGGACAGGTCCCCCATGCCATTTTCATTATATCTCCAAAAGGTGCAATTTTCCAAATCGTGCCCTTCTGAGAGATCATAAAATTGGCGCCCGCTTCCACAATGGCAGAAAGTGGCCTTTGTAGGAAAGCCATGAATCACATCAATTGGGAGAAATTTTGGAAAGATGCTCTTCGATAGAAGTACCGTATATACTTGAGTATAAGCCGACCCAAATATAAGCCGAGGCACCTAATTTTACCACAAAAAATTGGGAAAACTTATTGACTCGAGTATAAACCTAGGGTGGGAAATGCAGCAGCTACTGGTAAATTTCAAAATAAAAATAGATACCAATAAAATTACATTAATTGAGACATCAGTAGGTTAAATGTTTTTGAATATTGATTTCAAAGAAAAACAGTAAACTAGCTCTGTAAGTGGAAAAGAGGATCAACAAAAACAATATGGTATCAACAATAATTTTAAAAGTACTGTATATGAGTTGGGTAAATTTGTTTAATAAATACAATGGAAAAGGTCTTTGGGGATTCCAGAATTTACATGGCACTAATTGGATTTTTGATCTCCCTTTTATTTTGAGACATAATAGACTAGTTTTACACTTTAAAAAAATTACACAAGAGAATTTTGCTTCCAGGGGGCTGCATGGAGTCTTGCTAGGCACCCCCCTCATGCCACTAGCAAGCCTCCCTGCAGCCCTGGGAGCCAAAAAGGGGCACGGGGGAGGGGCGCTGCACCCTCCCCCCATGCCCCATTTTACCTTTAGCAAGCCTCCCTGCAGCCCCTGGGAGCCAAAACGGTTGCAGGAAAAAAGGCATTTTTTTCCTCACTCAAGTATAAGCTGAGGGGGGGCTTTTTTCAGCATAAAAAATGTGCTGAAAAACTCGGCTTATACTCGAGTATATACGGTAAGTGGAGCAAAGTATGACATGGCAGGGAGGAGAGCCAGATCTGTGGGACTTGTTGGGTCAGAAAAGAGGCACAAGGCTGTGGGACCTACCAAGGCAGGAAGTTGTGCATGGGTGACTTGGGGTTTGGAGGAGACCCTGGGAGGCCTGGCTCAGGCCACATGTAAGCTGGGGAGCTGCTGCAGGATGTGTCTGGGTCTGAAATAGAATACGAGGCTTAAACCTGCACTGGACCTCTGGAAGACTTTTATTGCTATTATACCTTGCAAGCAATAGATTTTCTATAGTCCTTGTGACATCTGTTTCCTGACCTCTCTTACATTGAAGTGATGACACAAGGTCTATAGAGAGAAAGAGATATGTTTTTATTTGGTCTTTTATTAATAGCAATTTGGTTTTGTCCAACTTTCTTCAAACCCAGTGTGTATTTGTGTATTTGTTTTGTTTTTGCAACTTTTAGTTTAATAACCTGCTGTTGTACTGTGTACCAAAAGTCATTCAAGTTGGTGCCGAATTTCAAGTGCGCCATCGGATTGATGTCAATGGCATGAAGGTCAGAATATTTTATTGTCTGTTCATTTATTTATTCAAGTCAATTTGGAAAACAGCTGTGATGACTTTTATGGAAATTCCTTTGAGTAAGATTGGATAGAGTTGCAACTAGGGCTGAGAATTCATAAATTCGAAAGGAGGAAGAGAGAGGGAGAGACCCCCCGAACAAGTAAAGTGCTAGGTAGGGCTTTGCAGATTTTTGAAGATAAATCTGCTTTAGAGCAGGGGTTTTCAAAGTTTTTATACTACAGAATCTGTTAGTTTAAAAGTATTTCCCAGAGCCCCTGATCAAGAGGCAAAAACTAGTAGCAGAAAATTGGTTGTGTTTGAGTGAACTTAGTTTCTCGTGGAACTTCATCAAGTTGTCATGGAGAACATAGTTTGAAAAGTCTTACTTTAGAAAATGCAGGGATTGCTAGTCAACACCTCTCTGCAACTCCTTAAAGCAATGGACTCTTTTCCTTAGGATCACTCAGCTATTCTATACATGTCTTGCCATATGCTCCTTGCCATATGCTCTTCACATACCATTTCTGCTGTAATGGTATGTGAGAATGACCTTGAGAGACAGATGCAGTGGTGGGATTCAGCCAGTTCGCACCACTTCGGGAGAAGCTTTCTGAGCAGTTTGGAAAACTGGTTGTTGGAAGAAATAATTAGGGCAGAGAACCGGTTGTTAAATTACTTGAATCCCACCACTGGACAGAGGGAAGAGTCATAGTCCAGACAACGGTCAGATAAGAGGCAGCTCAATCTGCAGAAGGTATGGCAAATGTCTCAGAAGGGACCATCCCTGGTTTCTTTGACAGTAAAGAAGGAAACAGATATATACTTTCAGACTTGCAACTGTAACCTTACAATAAAGATTACTAGAGCTAGTACTTCTGGGGGTCCTTCTTGTCTGGACTACCTTGCAACGCTGATACCAATCTTGCAAGTCTCAAATTACATCTGTTCCCCCTTGCCTTTACAGTCTAAGAAATCAGGGACCAATCCCTTTTGGGACGTTGGGCTTGCTCTAGCAAGGGAGAAAGTGAAGTAAGAAAAGTATTTGTTTCGTATTCCATTTGTTCCAAACATTAATGTTAAAAACACAACATATAATATCAGTAATAGAGAACTACAAAAACCTGAACACAACCATGCTTCAAAGGAGAACTCAAGGAAACAGATTAAAAATGTTCTGATTATCTGAAAGTTGAGACAGTGCTGTGCCCATTCCACTTAGCTTCACACCAGAAAATAATAATTTTCCACACTGAACCCCCCCACCCCACCCCAAGGAAGATTATATATCTGTCTGAAGTAGTTTCATAGTTTAAATCATATACAACTGAATGAGCTGTATGAAGGAAATTAGTATTTACTCTCATTTCAGTGCTCTAATTTTTTTTTCTTTTAGGTTCGAGAACTAAATGATGTACAGTTTCCTCATGCTTTCCTTGTGTCAGGGAAACAGCGCACTCTAGAACTGCAAGCTAGGTAATTAAACAACAAATGTAGCCTTTTTTTTAATTCTAGCAAAAGAACGTAAACTCTACCTCTCCAATAAATGAAATCTCTTTCTCTGCAGGTCCAAGGAGGAGATGGATGCCTGGCTTAAGGTAGCCATTGTTGCAATTTGTTTTTTTTAAAGCTTAGGGAGCATCCAGGCCAATGAAGAAACCAAAATACTCTCAATAAATATAATGGGTTATGAGAATAACTTTGAGAGACAGGAAGAAGAGCTACAGCCTAATAATCAATAGTCTCATAAGAGAAATCTGAATCCAAAATATGAATGGGATGGGGAAAGTTTCTCAGCATTTTTCCTCCCTAGTTCTTTGAAATGACAGAAGGAGGGGGTGGGAGGATTTGGAAGTTAGATTTCTCTTGAGATATAAAATCTCCTTTAAGTCGTAGACATATCATTGTAGTTTTCTTAGCAGCAATGTAGAAGTGATTTAACTTTGGTATTTTTAAGGGTTCTCCAATCCAGGTCCTAACCATGCCCTTCTCTATTTAGCTATTCAAGATCAGATAAGGTCAGTTGGATGCTACCACATAGCTATACCTTAAGAAATGACCCACAATTAATACAATATCCTTCAACATAGAAGGTACTGGTGCTGGTAATTTCTAATTTTGGCAACTAGATTAAGACCTTTGGGAATCCACATGGGGATCTTTAGTGGCTCAAACACATTATGTCAGGGGTGGGCAACTATGGCCCTTTTATGACATGTGGACCTCAACTCCCAGAATTCCTGAGCCAGCCATGTTAGCTCAGGAATTCTGGGAATTGAAGTCCACAAGTCATAAAAGGGCCATAGTTGCCCACATCTGCATTATGTGATAGGGCAGCAGTCCCATGCATTTAAAGGGAAGTCAATTTCATTTACCTAAACAATGGGTAATAGAGGTAAGAGAAGAAAGCTCTATACAGAATTTAAGCCAAGGCTGGGGAAGGTTTTAGAACTTCCCTCTTTATTCTTAAAATTCCCCCACTCATATACACCCATATATAAATCCACCCATGCTTCATCTTTGATTATGTCAGTCTAAGATTAAATAGATAGGAGCTGCTATTTACACATTTTACATGAAAAATATATTGAAACTAAGCTTCTTTTCAGAAATCCTTCTATTCAAAATGTTTTTTTCCTCCCACCCAGACCTTCCAGTCTGCCATCAACAAGAAAGAAAAGAGGAGTGAAACCTTCAAGGCTGCAAGCCAAGGGCAAGAAGCAGAGACGCAAGACTCCAGTGTAAATCTCCAGTTACACACCTATTGTGACTATCCCATTTGCCCTTTAGAGCTACCGATATTCATTTCCTCTTTTAAAACCATGAGCTCATTTTCCAAAGATTGTAACTGTGTAAATTTACAAAGACCTTAACAGTCTCTGATAAACAAAGGGGAGGGGGAGATGTACAGAAAACGCATCTAACAAAGTTTTGTCATTATGTCACATTTACTCTATGTGTTACTTTTGAATTGAGGCTGTCACACCCCCTGTGTGTCCAGAGGTTGACTGAAAGGGTTGCTTGATTCAGAGTCTCTTTTCTTGCAGCAGGGCCAGTCACAGGAGCTGGGCAAGTGGGCTCCCCAGTGGATAAGAGACAAGCTGGTCACCATGTGCATGCGCTGCAAAGAGCCTTCAATGCTATCACACGAAGAAGGCATCACTGCCGAGCCTGTGGCTATGTGAGTCAGCTTATTTGTTCTCTATCCCCCCCCCCAATTGTTTTGGGATAGAACAATCAAGTAATTGATAGGTTTTGCTGATCTGAAGAGCTAGTACTGAGAACAAGAGTGATTATGGCTAGTGCAATGGCAGACTTGAAAAACCTTGCCAAGAAAACTGCAGGGACTTGTCCAGGGGTGAAATTCAAATTTTTTCCCTGCTGGTTCTGTGGGCGTGGCATGGTGGGGGTGGCATGGCTTGGAGGGTGTGGCAGGGGAAGGATATTACAAAATCTCCATTCTCATCCCACTCCAGGGGAAGGATATTGCAAAATCTCCATTCCCACCCCACTCCAGGGGAAGGATATTGCAAAATCTCCATTCCCACCCCCACTCCAGGGGAAGGATATTGCAAAATCTCCATTCCCACCCCACTCTGGGGCTAGCCAGAGGTGGTATTTGCTGGTTGTCTGAACTGCTCAAAGTTTCCGCTACCAGTTCTCCAGAACCTGTCAGAACCTGCTGAATTTCACCCCTGGACTTGTCCAAGCAGTCTCCAAGAACTGGATACAATAAACATTTTTTTAAAAAAATCTCACCACATTTAACCTTCTCCAAACCTGTGGTTTTTCTCCTGGAGGCAGGTGGTGTGTGCCCGGTGTTCTGAATACAAGGCTGAATTGCAGTATGACAAGAATGGACTCAAACGTGTCTGTGCGGAATGCTATGTCTTCCTCACAGGGAATTTGCTGCCCGTCGAGCAGCATGGGAAGCACAAAGGCATTCTGGAGGTGAGGGAAAAGCAGAGTTGGAAGGTCTGCTTCTTCTCTTTTCTCAAGCTTGTTTCTTGGTCTGTGGATAACTTGACCTTCTGGGTAGGAATGTTGTTATTGCAGCAATTTCACTTTTGTCATTTTGAAAGTACTTATGTGGCAAACACTTCCCCATCAACATGACCTATACAGAAGCATGCACACATAGCCATCATGTTCTTTTCTTCCAGGCAAGCAACATTATGCAGCACAGGAAGGGGAAAAACATAGAAGAGCCAAGGATATTAAAAGCCTGAGATACAAGGGGGAAAAAAGAAACGAAACATGGCTAAAGCTAACTAACATCTCACTTCTTTGTCATCAGAGCCAACTATGACTTTCTCCGACTCTCATCTCCTCCTGAGCCCTTCACTCTTCTTTCATAGGGTTGTTTCATTATTCTTTCTTTCTTTATGACCAAACCACCTCAATATACTGTATATATTTGCAGATAAGCTCATCTGTGTATAAGCCAATCTTCAGGGTTTTTTGTGGGTTTTTTCCCCCCAATATATTCTGGAGGGCTTCTTTGTTTTTATATTTGTATCAATACATGGTTTTGTTTCCAGAAAAGATCCATTTTACATTTTCACAACTGGCTTATCTCTAGGTGGTACATTTTTCATGTAGTTTGGTGGAAAAAAAAATGAGTCAGATTTATTTGTGGTTGGGCTTACTTGTGAGTATGTATGTGAGTATGTGAGTATGCCATTAAAAAAAACCCTCTCTGTATTTTTATATTTTTAAAAAATACATTTTCTATTTGCACCATCTTTACCTACAACCTTACAATTTTTCAATGTGATTGCAGCATTTATAACTTTTTCAACAGTTTTTTTCTTGGACAGTAACATTTATAAGATTCTTTTTTTTTTAAAAAAAAATTGATTTATATGCCGCCCTTCTCCGGAGACTCAGGGTGGCTTACAATGCGTTAAGCAATAGCCTTCATACTTTTGTATATTTATACAAAGTCAGCTTATTGCCCCCACAAACTGGGTCCTCATTTAACCTACCTAAGAAAGGATGGAAGGCTGAGTCAACCTTGAGCCTGGTAAGATTCGAACCTGCAGAAATTGCAGGCAGCTGTGTTAATAACAGGGTGCATTAAACCACTGTACTACCAAGGCTCTTTTCAATTTCACTCTTCAACATACCTCTATCTTTCCCATATTCATGTTTAAAATACTCTTTCCAGCACTGTCTTATTACACTTTCATCCAAAAATCACTTCATCTTTGTTAATTGCTACCAACTTCTTGTTTAGCTCTTTTTACCATTTTCAGAACATTTTTGATTTCCATCAAAAATTGCTCTGCATTTTCTTTGCCTCTTTTAATAGTTGTATGTTCTATAGCTATATTCTTTGCAACTATTGTTTCTTTATATACACATTATTCGAATCCCTTTTATGTTCATTTCTTGCAGCACTAATTCTATTATATGTATTTTTCTTCATTCATGGCCTTTTTCACTTTCCACTGCCATCAAGCATCCTTTTTAATAATTTTCATTACCATATTCTAGAGATTTCCTTGGTACCCAGTAACATATTTCTTTTCATTCTGTACCAAGTAGCTTCAATAGCCTCTTTTTCACATCCAGTTTCCATTATTTCTATTGAAAGATTAATCTATTCTTGAATATGTTTTTAGCAGATTCATCTCTCTGTCCCATTATCACTAGAGTATAATATGCAGCTATTACCACCCTACAAATTCAAATTTCCTTATGCACCCACAACCACCTAAACATCAATTCATATTGACTGATATACGTTTTAGCTCTTTCATGTATAGGTAGTCCTCAGTTAACAATGGGAATTGGGTCCAGAATTTCTGTTGCTAATTGACACAGTCATAAAGCATGATGTCATATGATCATACTAGTTCCAGTACTCCTGGTTGTTGTCATTAAGTGAATCCCACACTTTGAACTTCTTGCTGTTTTGAGTGTCCCTCTAGTCATATGAGTGATTCAGGCACCTGGCACCTGCTTGCAATTAATGTTGCAGCATCCTATGACTATGAAGTTGCCATGTGACACTTGCTGCCTTCTCCATTGACTTTGCTTGTCCAAAACCAGCAATGAAGGTTGCAATTGATGATCACATGACTAAGGGACACTGCAATGATGTAATTGCCAGCCAGGTGTTACGTGCCCAGATTATAATCATGTGTCCGTGAGGAATCTATGATGGCCAGAACTTGAAGGACCAGTTCCAAGTACCACTCATTCAGCACCATTAAAAGTTTGAATGGTCACTGAACAAGTGTTCATTAAATGTGGACCGCCTGTAATATATCTATATTTTTTCTTGGATTTCATTCATTAATTCCTGCTCTTTTCCATTTACTTCTCTTACATTCTAAGTCTCAATCTTTTATATGGCATAAGTATCACGATAAATTGTGACAATGTGACCTGTTGCCCATTATGACTTTGATTATGGATTGAAATTTTGTACAATATAGAAAATATGTCAGCTAATTTACCAACCTTAGTTATAACCATGTGCAACTTTTTTTTTTTTTTTTTGCTGAATTAAAGAAAAAAATAGTTTTGGCACATTTTGGCAAATATGCTATACGTGTGGCCCAAACCTAGTTTTATTCTGAGTATGCTCACGCTATTCTATGCAGACTAGCATCTCTAATCTAGAGACTAATTTGAAATCTAATTTGAAATTTGAAATGGTTCAAGAACTAAACAACTGCTTCTAAATGCAGTGCATAAGGGACTAATTAGTATATATTAGCATACATATTAAGAACCTCTGGTTAATGTGCCTAATTTGGGCATGGGAAGCTTAGTTTAGGTCCTTCCTTCCAAGATAAACTCCTCTATTGATTTTAGACAAACACTGACTCAGGTTAGCTTGCTTCTGAACTATTCTAGGAATGCAACTGGAAAAGCTTTTACCTTAAAAGAAAAAGATCCTTATAGAAAGACAACTCACTGATCCTTATAGAAAGACAACTCACTGTTTAATTTTAGTTAGATTGGGATTAAGAAATGTAAAGCTCTGCTGGTTCCATTCAGCCAGCTGAATTCTGGATTGCAAGGCCATTATGAAATTTCATTATCAATGCATGGAAAGCCTGGATGAACTAGAAATTTGGGGTGCATGACATTACCTGTTTTGAATCAGATCTGCCAAATATACTTCATTCTAGAAGGTCATGAGATTCCTTCTAATGTCATAATTTTATGAATCCTGGCAAAGTAATAGGAGGTGGAAGAAGTTTAAACAGCAAACTTTTGCCTACATCATGTGATTAGATTTTGAGGAGCAATTTTGTCTATAGAAGCTGTTTTCGGGAGATGGTCAAGCTACTTACTGGACTAAGGAAAGATACTTAGTTATCAGTGTTGATGCTTTATAAAGTACTTCAGATACATTTATGCTCCACAGTGGATTTTAGCTATGCAGCTGAATGAAATCTCCATGTTCTCTTTTGGGTAAGAGTTATTAATAATGCTGTGAACTATTTGTTTAATTGGCAGAAAGAATCTGCAGAAATATCAGGGCAAAGCCTAATGTGCAGTTTTCTGCAGCTTATGGATAAGAATGGAAAGGGGAGCATGCGTGGCTGGTTTGTGATCCCACGAGATGATCCACTGGTGTTGTATATTTATGCTGCACCTCAGGTATGTTTTTGCATAGAGTTTATTATGATGGAAATGAATAAGGCTTACAAATGAACTGCTTCTAGAACCCTGCCCTTTGATGATTAATTCTTTCATAACATCAAGCTTGGGTTTATAAGAACAGAGAAATCAGCGACAGGAAGTTCTTCATTCCAAACTAGCTGTAAGATGTAGTTGTGAATATTTTTCAGCTTGTCCCTTCTTCCACCATTTCCCATTAGCGTAATCTCAGAAAATATATTAGATGGACTAATATGCTCAGGGTGATGCATATATCATTTATTTCACTATTTCCCTCATAACAAGAATCCCATGGAGTAGGTTGGAACTGAAAGATGGTGACTGGTTTAAGGGCACTCGTGGGCTTCAATGGCTAAGCGTCGACTTGAGCTTGGGTCTCCACAATCTTAAATATTATTTAATTACAGAAGCATTTTTGTTCCAACTTCATTCTTCCCAGTGATTTTTCCACTTCTGAAGGGAAATTATCTCACCCCAATCCAGGGGTGGGCTGCTGGGGGTTCGCAGGGGTTCGGGAGAACCTCTAGCTAAGATTCTGTGCAGTTTGGAGAACCCCAAATCCCACTCCTGACTGGCCACGTCTATCCCTCCCCTCCCCTCCCCAGAGTTCCCACCCGGCCTGTTTTGAATGCAGGGGAAGTGTAGGGCACGCGTGGAAGCTCGGGGAGGGCGAAAAATGGGCCTACTGGAAGTTCAGGAAGTTCAGGATATTTGGGACTCCAAAGGGCATCCGGAGCCTGGGGAGGCAATTTTCGCCCCCCTGGAGGCTCAAGAAAAGCCTCTGGACCTGGGGGGGGGGGCAAAAACACCCCCCTCCTCGCCATGGTGCACGAGGCCAATTAGGCCACGCCCACCATGGCCATGCCCACCCAGCAACTGGTCAGAGAACCCCTTGCTAAAATTTTTGAAGCCCATACCTGCCCCAATTTGATACTTTTACACGTTTGGGAGTCACCAGGGCAGGGAAGGTTGAATGTATTCCACTGAGCAGAAAAGCAGTAAGAAGTAGAGAGTCCAAGCTGAGCCATGTGCTGCGGTTTGACATGAGACCAGAAGTAATTGATGAGAAACCAAGCTAGAAATCAGAATATATGAGAGGCAGGATGCACAATTCCCAGCACAAACAAGAAGACTTTCTATAATTTAATATATAATTCTGCTTAGTCAAATATACTTCAGAGTGATCTGAAAATTTCAAATTCTAGCTTTGGGAGTTCCTGATTGTAAATAAAATTATTGAATAGAGAGGAATGAAGTAAGCAATTATTTTATTTATTACATTTATATGGCTGTGCATCTAGACTGTATGCAACAATTTTAGTTAACTTTTCCATAGTTAAGCAACAGCAGCCTCTTGAGGCTGTTTTTGGTAAAACAAAACAAACCAAATTGAAAAGGGGGGGGGGAACTCCCAGACAACTATGGACAAAACTAGTTTGGGCTTTCAGTAGTACAGAATCATATCAGTGTGATGGTAACAAAGTGATCATATCTCAACAGAGATATGAAATTAGTTATGGGACATTTGAAAATAACTGTGTTTGGAACCTTTCCTTCACCCAACCCAGGATGTCAAAGCCTATGCCTCTATCCCTCTGTTGGGTTACTGTATCAAGGAGCCATATCAGCATAATCCCCGTCACATCTTCCAGTTGGTACAATCCAAACAGACCTATACCCTGGTTGCTGAAACTGAAGAACTGAAGCAGCGCTGGATGAAAGCCATTGAACAATCAGCCAGGGGAGGAGAAGAAGAAGATTCGTTTGATGATCTGGAATAATTCAAGCTTCTTCTGAGGCTGTTGCAAACTCTGAATTGCCACTGTAATAAGCACCAAATCTGTGTTATAAATTCAGTCATATCTTTCAGTTATAACTTTTCACTGGTTTCAAATCATAGCATTTTTGTCTAGTAGAGATTTCCTTGGCTGGCTGGTGAGCCTGCCAGTGAAACTACTGTATATCTAGCGAACTATTCAAGTCCTAATAAATTGTTGATTCATCATTTAAATTTGCAAACTTTTATTGATAGACTGTCCTGTGCATATAAAATAAATAATGAATAACTTTATTGTCATTGTACGTGTATACACAGTATACCCATACAACGAAATTCACTTAACACCCAAAGACCAGGTCCAACACACATAACAATCCCCAATACACTCCCACCCACCACAATTCTCCACCCCTAAACCACCCAAACATCCACACAACAGATCAAGTAATACTGTCCAACAGCTCACTGATGGTGAGCTGTTTGAACTATTAAATTACCGCAAGCTGAATTTTAGAGATAAATACAGTTAAAAGTAACAATTATTGAAACTGTTTCCCTTTGCTAATTCCATCTACCCTCCACCTTTCCCCAGGGATCATTGTGACAAGATTTCTTTTTGCCCAAGTGCTATTTCCTGGTCCCTTCGATTCCCTTCTCCTTTTAATATTCTAAAATGGTATCCATGGCAGCGGTGAAATCCGGCCGGATCTATCCGGCTCACGTGAACCGGTAAGGCCGGTGGCAGGAGGCTCCACCCACTCACCAGGATGTCATTACGTCTCGTTTTTGACCCTCTGAGAGGCGTGTGTGAGCGTAGCGAGCGTGTGTGCGCGTATGCTCACATTTCCGAACCGGTAGGGAAGGTAAGTGCATTTCACCGCTGGTCCATGGCTACTTGAGGATGTCTTCCTTGCCCCTTTACAAGAAGCTATTGTGTTTTTAGAAAATCTTGGTTTTGTTTTGTTTTTTAAGGAATACTGGAAACTCCAACTGAAAGTACAAGCTTCCAATATTTTTTTTTAAATACGAGAATAATGTTGTGACCTATAAGCTTTTGCAGAAGATAACATGGTGGCCTGGGCGCTGCTCCATGCTTTATTTATTACCCAGAGAAAAAGATAAGCAAGTTGGCACTGGCAAGGAGCAACTAGGAGGAAGTTAAAGGAAATAGAAGAGAACATTCTGTTCTGTCAGGGTTTGCATCTTTTTACCTTCCCTTATCTAGGCATGACATATTTTCAGAATTCCAAAATTTCTATCATCTCCATCAGATAGGTTGGAACACTACTCTTAACATTCCAAGGTAAGACATAGTGATTGGGAATTCTGGGATGGATATTCCAACACTTTCAGTGGATGTTACAGCATAAACAAGAGTAAAGCTTGCAAAGATGGATACTGTGCATGTCCAAATAATTTAATAATACAGTAAATGCTGAAATTCCTTTGTGAACTTTTAGAATAATGGTAAACATCATTCCATATAATGCAGGCTGTATGTCAGGTATCATATATGGTTACCTGCCTTGTTCCAGAAGTACTATAAATAGAAAAGGACGTTGCTATCATATAAATGCTCTGAAGTGATTTTTCTGTCTTTCTTGATGCTATCAATAAATAAATAAATCTGACTTTTTGAAACAAATTGAACTCTTGCAGAACTTCACCGGTGTCTTTTAGCATTACGTTTTTTCCAGGAGAAGTGGCTTTGGCATGAGAAGTCATCCATTTGCCATATCTCAACTGTTGTTTTTTAAATTAACATCATTTTATGTCTCTCCACTACTTTAATTGGTTTTTTATTTGAAGTGTCCCCCCCCCAAATTAGAATTTCACTCCATGAAAGACGTCAGGGGTAGCATCTGGATGACCTTCTCAGGGTTTATAAAATAAACAGCAGTGAACTTCATTACTGCAAGGATAGGGGACTCTGGAACTGCAAGCTAGACATAGAAATAATTAATTAAAAAAAAAAACCATAATGGAAGAAGGAAATGGCAGAGCGTTACAATCAAGAAAATGGTCTGGACTCATCTGTTAAACTGCTGGAATCAATTTTGAATTGAAGGAGACTCTGTATTTACTTAAATTGAAGAGCGTTCGTGGCTTAAAGAAGATTTAAGTGATGGTGTCTATTTGGAAGATTTTGGTGGTTTTAACAATAGTGGTGTCTGATCCAAGCGAGGCCAGGCTCAAGATAAAAGAAAAAAATTATGAGTGACCATTATTGCACATTTTACAAATCACATTTCTTTGCTAAAATGATCACTAAATCATCTAAATTTTTAAGCTTCTGGGAAGGAAAACTGTGTGCCCTATGTGTAAATATGCATTAAACGGGCATGTTTTTATCATTTGCATATACTGTGTTTTGTGACTTTCTGACCTTAATAATGCAATAGATTTTCATGCTCTCTTTGAAAATATAAGTTATTTTTACACTTTTTTTTCTAAAAAGCATTTGCATTATTTTTAATGCATAATCTGTGACTCATTATTTATAGTTGCAAAAATATGACTCAGAACTGAGAAGAATTTAAACAAAATAAAATGAATCTATTACTATGCCTTGCAAAAAAGTTGCGTTCACTTATTTGAAACAGAGACCCTGTTTTAGAGGGATACTTGTACAATTGTGAAAAAAGGGATACTCAGCGGCACCAGAAATATGAATACCGGTATATTTGTGGAATGTGTTGTGCAATCTAGGTTTTGTACACCAGGGTGCACTCTCAGTTATAAAATACGGATCAGTCAAAAGAAGCAAGTGTGGGGGGTTTTTTTTGTGCTGAAAGTAGCAAATCTCGTCAATTTGACGACAAATTTGAAGTCCCAGAGAAAAATATGTGGTAGGATATTTGTGGATAGGTTGTTTTACATTATAATGTTTCAGGGGGATGAGGAGAGGGACATGAAATTTTTTTTTGAGTACTGGTGCTAATTGAAAGGGGCAGACCGTGTCCAACGAGATTTCTCTTTTTTTTATGTTTGTCCAAACTTCAGGAAGATTAGTGGGAGAAGAAGCTGGCTGAAAAGCAGGAGATTAAAATTTATTATATCTGTCTATGTGTATGTCTGTCTGTATGTGTGTATCTATCTATCTATCTATCTATCTATCTATCATCTCTCTCTCTCTCTCCATATATATATATATATGTATGTATGTATGTATGTATGTCTGTCTGTCTGTCTGTCTGTCTGTCTGTCTGTCTGTCTGTCTGAACTGATTGGGTGGGAGCTTGGCTGCCACACATCAGTTCACACCCCCACTGATGGCTGCCACACATCAGTTCACATTCTCCTGGCAGTTAAAAGGAAGAAACAGTTCACACTTCCACTGGCAGTTAAAAGGAAGAAACAGCTGCGATCACACATTGCTCCTAGAAGCACGAAGCTGAAAACACCAGCCTGAAGATGACGAATGAGACTTCGTCAAAACATCGGCAAGACACTTCCAATTTTACGCGGGAGAAAACCCGAATAACCAAAGACCTACATACAAACACCCGCGAAAACCTCAGAAAACAAATACATATATATATACACACACGCACACATACACACACACACACACACAGAGATTATATATATAATTATCTATTTATACATATATACATACTGTACATACAATCAATCAATCAATCAATCAATCAACCACTTTCAGTCTGACCATCTTGGCTGGAAGATGGGAATCCTAACATGGAGCATGCCAGTTTAGGAAAAGCTGCTAAATGAATTGGCCAGCATTTTCTTTGCTGTCATCGGTACAAGGTACAATAAAAACAGAGGTCTGTGCCATTTCAGTCATTTTCTTGCTCACCTAGATTTCTGAGTGTTAGATCGTTCGTTGTTAACATAAATATTCAACTTATACCATACGGAAGGGGCAGCGCAGTTGCTCAGTAGTTTATTTATTTATTTATTATTTATTTATTAAATTTATATCCCGCCCTTCTCCCCGAAGGGACTCAGGGCGGTGAACAGCCGAGAATTAAAATAACATGCAATATAAAAGTTAAAATAATTAAGAATAAATTAAATTAAACGGCCGCCCCAATTTAAAACCCCTAGCAATACAATTAAAAACCTTAAAACCTATTCAGGCCAGGCCGGCTTGCTGAAATAAAAACGTCTTCAGGGCCTTACGGAAAGTGCGGAGATCCGGAATCAGTCGTATTCTGGGAGGTAGCTCGTTCCAGAGGGCAGGTGCTCCCACAGAGAAAGCCCTCCCCCTGGTTTTGTTATCTGGAAATCCGGCAGCCCAGGTTCAAGACCTGAGAGCCACGCAACGGGGTGAATTCTTGTCCTTGCCCCAGTTCCTGCCAACCTAGCAGTTTGAAAGCATGTAAATCCAAGTAGATAAATAGGTACCAATTTGGTAGGAAGGTAACAGAACTCTGTGAAGTCATGCTGGCCACATGACTGTGGAAATGTCTTTGGATAGCGATGGCTCAATGGCCTTGAAACAGAGATGAGCACCGCCCCTTATAATCAGCAATGACTAGTGGAATCAAATCCACAGGAATTCCTTTACCATTTTCCTTTACAGTACAGAAACTCATTTGTGATTCATCCAAAAATTATATATTAATGATATAGTTTCCTTTGGCTTTTTTCCATTCTACTTCTGGAGGATTAGTGAAGGCTTCAAATGTATGTATTATCTATATATAAAAGCATACTGATCCTTGAGGGTTTCATTAAATTATTTTGAAATCCAATTGACATGGGGATAGACTTCATTTTGGCCCAGAGTTTCCTACCTTTCATTGCTGTGATATATGAAGACCTGGAGCAATTTGACTTGCTAGAATCTCATTCACCTCTAGGAATTTTTGCCTCCTCTTAGGTACCCCTTGGGACAATGTAGATACTGTTAGTCTTTATTGACTGACTGACTATATATTTATCTTTCATTTCATGGTACAATTACCCCTCAGGATGATGTTCTGAAGCTCAATGAGGATAAGACATTTAAATTAACTGGAAACCGAAGGATACACTTTGTTCAAAAGTGTACCATTCACCAGATTTTCTTTGCCCATAGGTTTCACCTGTTCGTTGCAATAAAGAAAGAGAAGAACTGATTAATACCCTTCCCACTCCAATGCCCAGTAAGAGGACTAATGTCTCTAAAGCCATATGGTAACTCCACCTTCTTGCTTTCTGATGTATATTATTGTCTGCTTTCCTCAAACCCATTTGACTTTTCTTCCCCCAACGAATCCAGGCTTATCCTACAAAATTAGTCAAATGTATGTTAGCTTAACATCTTTAAAAGCTAGAGAAGTC